GAAGGAGGTTCTCACCCAAGATTTGACGGTACATGGCCCCGTCCATCGTCCCTTTGATGCGGTGAAGTTGTCCTGTCCCCTTAGCAGAAAAACACCCCCAAAGCATAATGTTTCCACCTCCATGTTTGACGGTGGGGATGGTGTTCTTGGGGTTATAGGCAGCATTCCTCCTCCAAACACGGCGAGTTGAGTTGATGCCAAAGAGCTCGATTTTGGTCTCATCTGACCACAACACTTTCACCCAGTTCTCCTCTGAATCATTCAGATGTTCATTGGCAAACTTCAGACGGGCCTGTATATGTGCTTTCTTGAGCAGGGGGACCTTGCGGGTGCTGCAGGACTTCAGTCCTTCACGGCATAGTGTGTTACCAATTGTTTTCTTGGTGACTATGGTCCCAGCTGCCTCGAGATCATTGACAAGATCCTCCCGTGTAGTTCTGGGCTGATTCCTCACCGTTCTCATGATCATTGCAACTCCACGAGGTGAGATCTTGCATGGAGCCCCAGGCCGAGGGAGATTGACAGGTCTTTTGTGTTTCTTCCATTTGCGAATAATCGCACCAACTGTTGTCACCTTCTCACCAAGCTGCTTGGCGATGGTCTTGTAGCCCATTCCAGCCTTGTGTAGGTCTACAATCTTGTCCCTGACATCCTTGGAGAGCTCTTTGGTCTTGGCCATGGTGGAGAGTTTGGAATCTGATTGATTGATTGCTTCTGTGGACAGGTGTCTTTTATACAGGTAACAAGCTGAGATTAGGAGCACTCCCTTTAAGTGTGCTCCTAATCTCAGCTCGTTACCTGTATAAAAGACACCTGGGAGCCAGAAATCTTTCTAATTGAGAGGGGGTCAAATACTTATTTCCCTCATTAAAATTCAAATCAATTGATAACATTTTTGACATGTGTTTTTCTGGATTTTTTTGTTGTTATTCTGTCTCTCACTGTTCAAATAAACCTACCATTAAAATTATAGACTGATCATTTCTTTGTCAGTGGGCAAATGTACAAAATCAGCAGGGGATCAAATACTTTTTTCCCTCACTGTATATATATATATATACACACACACACATACACTGCCAATCAAAGGTTTGGACACAGCTACTCATTCAATTATTTTTCTTTATTTTAAATGTTTTAACATTATAGAATAATAGTGAAGACATCAAAACTATGAAATAACACATATGGAATCATGTAGTAAGCAAAAAAGTGTTACACAAATCAAAATATATTTTAGATTCTTAAAATAGCCACCCATTGCCTTGATGACAGCTTTGCACACTCTTGGCATTCTCTCAACCAGCTTCATGAGGTAATAATGCATTTCAATTAACAGGTGTGCCTTCTTAAAAGTTAATTTGTGGAATTTCTTTCCTTCTTAATGCGTTTGAGCCAATCAGTTGTGTTGTGACAAGGTATACAGAAGACAGCCCTATTTGGTAAAAGACCAAGTCCATATTATGGCAAGAACAGCTCAAATAAGCAAAGAGAAATTATTACTTTAAGACATGAAGTTCAGTCAATACGGAACATTTCAAGAACGTTGAACAAGTGCAGTCGCAAAAACCATCAAGCGCTATGATGAAACTGGCTCTCATGAGGACCGCCACAGGAATGGAAGACCCAGAGTTACCTCTGCTGCAGAGGATAAGTTCATTAGAGTTACCAGCCTCAGAAATTGCAGCCCAAATAAATGCTTCACAGAGTTCAAGTAACAGACACATCTCAACATCAACTGTTCATAGGAGACTGTGTGAATCAGGCCTTCATGGTCGAATTGCTGCAAAGAACCCACTACTAAAGGACACCAATAAGAAGAGACCTGCTTGGGCCAAGAAACACGAGCAATGGACATTAGACCCGTGGAAATGTGTCCTTTGGTCTGGAGTGCAAATTTGAGATTTTTGGTTCAAACCTCCATGTCTTTGTGAGACGCGGTATGAGTGAACGGATCATCTCCGCATGTGTATTTCCCACCGTAAAGCATAGAGGAGGAGGTGTTATATGGGTTATATGTACTCTTGAGTGGCGCAGTGGTCTAAGGCACTGCATCGCAGTGCTAACTGTGCCACTAGAGATCCTGGTTCGAATCCAGGCTCTGTCGCAGCCGGCCGCGACCGGGAGACTCATGGGCGGCGCACAATTGGCTCAGGGTAGGGGAGGGAATGGCCGGCAGGGATGTAGCTCAGTTGATAGAGCATGGCGTTTGCAACGCCAGGGTTGTGGGTTTGATTCCCACGGGGGGCCAGTATAAAAAAAAAAAAATGTATTCACTAACTGTAAGTCGCTCTGGATAAGAGTGTCTGCTAAATGACTAAAATGTAATATGGTGTGGGGGTGCTTTGCTGGTGACACTGTCAGTGAGTTATTTAGAATTCAAGGCACACTTAACCAGCATGGCTACCACAGCAGTGATACACCTTCCCATCTGGTTTGGGCTTAGTGGGACTATCATTTGTTTTTCAACAGGACAATGACCCACACACCTCCAGGCTGTGTACGGGCTATTTTACCAAGAAGGAGAGTGATGGAGTGCTGCATCAGATGACCTGGCCTCCACAATCCCCCGACCTTCACCCAATTGAGATGGTTTGGGATGAGTCGGACCGCAGAGTGAAGGAAAAGCAGCCAACAAGTGCTCAGCATATGTCGGAACTCCTTCAAGACTGTTGGAAAAGCATTCCAGGTGAAGCTGGTTGAGGGAATGCCAAGAGTGTACAAAGCTGTCATCAAGGCAAAGGGTGGCTATTTGAAGAATCTCAAATATAAAATATATTTTGATTTGTTTAACACTTTGGTTACTATGATTCCATATGTGTTATTTCATAGTTTGTCTAAACTATTATTCTACAAAGTAGAAAATAGTAAAAAATAAAGAAAAACCCTTGAATGAGTAGGTGTGTCCAAACTTTTGACTGGTACTGTATTTATATAAACTCAGCAAAAAAAGTAACGTCCTCTCACTGTCAACTGCATTTATTTTCAGCAAACTTAACATGTGTAAATATTTGTATGAACATAACAAGATTCAACAACAGACATAAACTGAACAAGTTCCACAGAAATGTGACTAACAGAAATTGAATAATGTGTCCCTGGGGGGGTAACAGTCAGTATCTGTTGTGGCCACCAGCTGCATTAAGTACTGCTGTGCATCTCCTCATGGACTGCACCAGATTTGCCAGTTCTTGCTGTGAGATGTTACCCCACTCTTCCACCAAGGCACCTGCAAGTTCCCAGACATTTCTGGGGGGAATGGCCCTAGCCCTCACCCTCCGATCCAACAGGTCCCAATGGGATTGAGATCCGGGCTCTTCGCTGGCCATGGCAGAACACTGACATTCCTGTCTTGCAGGAAATCATGCACAGAACGAGCAGTATGGCTGGTGGCATTGTCATGCTGGAGGGTCATGTCAGGATGAGCCTGCAGGAAGGGTACCACATGAGGGAGGAGGATGTCTTCCCTGTAACGCACAGCGTTGAGATTGCCTGCAATGACAACATGCTCAGTCCGATGATGCTGTGACACACCACCCCAGACCATGATAGACCCTCCACCTCCAAATTGATCCCGCTTCAGAGTACAGGCCTCGGTGTAACGCTCATTCCTTCGACGTTAAACGCGAATCCGACCATCACCCCTGGTGAGACAAAACCGCGACTCGTCATTGAAGAGCACTTTTTGAAAGTCCTGTCTGGTCCAGCAACGGTGGGTTTGTGCCCATAGGCGACGTTGTTGCCGGTGATGTCTGGTGAGGACATCACCTACAAGCCCTCAGTCCAGCCTCTCTCAGCCTATTGCGGACAGTCTGAGCACTGATGGAGGGATTGTGCGTTCCTGGTGTAACTCGGGCAGTTGTTGCCATCCTGTACCTGTCCCGCAGGTGTCATGTTCGGATGTACCGATCCTGTGCAGGTGTTGTTACACGTGGTCTGCCACTGCGAGGACGATCAGCTGTCCGTCCTGTCTCCCTGTAGCGCGTCTCACAGTACGGACATTGCAATTTATTGCCCTGGCCACATCTGCAGTCCTCATGCCTCCTTGCAGCATGCCTAAGGGACGTTCACGCAGATGAGTAGGGACCCTGGGCATCTTTCTTTTGGTGTTTTTCTGAGTCAGTAGAAAGGCCTCTTTAGTGTCCTAAGTTTTCATAACTGTGACCTTAATTGCCTACCGTCTGTAAGCTGTTAGTGTCTTAACGACCGTTCCACAGGTGCATGTTCATTAATTGTTTATGGTTCATTGAACAAGCATGGGAAACAGTGTTTAAACCCTTTACAATGAAGATCTGTGAAGTTATTTGGATTTTTACTAATTATCTTTGAAAGACAGGGTCCTGAAAAAGGGACGTTTCTTTTTTTGCTGAGTTTATATATAGAAATTGGAAACCCCAAATTGTCCATTTGACATTTCATTGAACAAATACCTACACATTACAGTATATGACATATTCAGACTGACCAGTGTCTTGGGTAGGAAGTCAAGAAATTAGGCAAATACAGACATGTTCTGTTCTTCCTGTGGCAGGGCAGGACATGCCAATCATTGGACAAAAGATCAGAATTGGGCTGCCTGTGTAAACGCAGCCATAATGTCTCTGAAGCGGAGGTCATCTGTCATACCAGTAGACCCATCCTCAGGCTTGAACAGAGTCCCCAGTTAAACCTAAGCTGGATCTGAGCACCATATTACTAGTTGTCAACAGCCCAGAGGTGACTGACCGTTGAAATGGCAGCCGTAAGAGTTCCATACAAACAGAGCTAATGAGCTCACCTCGGACAGACTAGTTTCAGAGGATCCCTGTAGTGTCTATGAAATAGAGAATCACAACCTTCTCACATCTTGCTTGTCCAGTCTACATTGCCACTGGCACATGATATTCCCAAGCATGAAGAGTCCTTGTGTGTTTTTCACTGTTAAAGTTGTGTAGATAGGACTCGAAAATGAGCACCGGACGTGTTGGATATCTCTCACGGATCCCTCTGTTCCTCCCAACCTAGTCCAGAGGCTCCTGTTTGATGTGGATGGTGGTGGTGGTGCCGATGGACTGACCCCTGTAGAGCTTGCGACACAGGACGTACTCGCTGAACTGGGAGGAGTCAACTCCGCCGCCACATGACGCCGTCACGCTGAATCCCTTCTGGAACAACCTCTCCAGAACCTGCAGGACAGACAGACAGACAGGGGCTTTAGACATTTGACATAAGTTATAGTGCCGAGTACGCTATTGTTATACCCTCTTCCTTAAACACTATATATACAAAAAATGTGTACACTCCTTCAAATTAGTGGATGCTGCCATTTCAGCCACACCCGTTGCTGACAGGTGTATAAAATAGAGCACACCACCATGCAATCTCCATAGACAAACATTGGCAGTAGAATGGCCTTACTGAAGAGCTCAGTGACTTTCAACATGGCAGTCATATGACGCCACCTTTCCAACAAGTCATAGCAGCAAAAGGTGGACCAACTCCATATCATTGCCCATGATTTTGGAATGAGATGTTCGACGAGCAGGTGTCCACATACACTACATGACCAAAAGTATGTATAACAGAGTTGACCATGAGCCACATAAGAACAGAGTTGACCTATAACTACATCACTGCATCTGCACTGAGTTGAGCCTATTAAGAAGAACTTAAGAATTAAAAACGGGGTTTACAAAGTAACTTTAGTGAGTCTGTCTGTCATGTTAGTTTACTTTGAGTCTTCAGCATTACTGGATGACCTCATCTGCTCTGCAGTGTACACAAAACATTAAGACTGACTAGGTGAAAGCAGGGGAAAGCTATGATCCCTTATTGATGTAACTTGTTAAATCCACTTCAATCAGCGTAGATGAAGGGGAGGAGACTGGTTAAAGGATTTTTAAGCCTTGAGACAATTGAGACATGGATTGTGTATGTGTGCCATTCAGAGGGTGAATGGGCAAGACAAAAAATATGTAAGTGCCTTTGAACGGGGTACGGTAGTAGGTGCCAGGAACACCGGTTTTGTGTCAAGAACTTCAACACTGCTGGGTTTTTCACGCTCAACAGTTTCCCGTGTGTATCAAGAATGGTCCACCACCCAAAGGACATCCAGCCAACTATTGGAAGCATTGGAGTCAACATGGGCCAGCATCCCTGTGGAACGCTTTCGACACCTTGTAGAGTCCCATGCCCCGACAAATTGAGGCTGTTCCGAAGGCAAAAGGTGGAGGGTGCAACTCAATATTAGGAAGTTATTCCTAATCTTTGGTATCCTCAGTGGCATTCACCTGAATCCACATCAGAACAGAATTGTCCTATAGAACTACAACTATATCACCGTCTGTACCTGAACTGAGTTGAGCCTGCAGTAGCCGTTGAGCGGGAATCTAATAACATGCGTGGGGTCCTGGTTCCAGCCGGCGTTCACAGAGTTACACATGACGTCTCCAGTCTCGGGGAAGATCTCCTCGATGAGCACCTTCCCCCCGCTGAGGGCGATCCTCTCCCCCAGGTCAGGGGTCACTCGGACCACCAGGCACTCGCAGGGCAGTCTCTTCTGGCCCTCCTGCTCCGTCTGCCAGCGCTCCAGCTCGCGGACCATGGGTGTCAGCTGGTAGTAGCGAGCCTCCTCGTATAGCTGGGGAAAGTCCTGTCATAGTAGAAACACATAAGCAAGGATATACAGTGGGGAAAAAAAGTATTTAGTCAGCCACCAATTGTGCAAGTTCTCCCACTTAAAAAGATGAGGCCTGTAATTTTCATCATAGGTACACGTCAACTATGACAGACAAAATGAGGAAAAAAATCCAGAAAATCACATTGTAGGATTTTTTATGAATTTATTTGCAAATTATGGTGGAAAATAAGTATTTGGTCAATAACAAAAGTTTCTCAATACTTTGTTATATACCCTTTGTTGGCAATGACACAGGTCAAATGTTTTCTGTATGTCTTCACAAGGTTTTCACACACTGTTGCTGGTATTTTGGCCCATTGCTCCATGCAGATCTCCTCTAGAGCAGTGATGTTTTGGGGCTGTCGCTGGGCAACACGGACTTTCAACTCCCTCCAAAGATTTTCTATGGGGTTGAGATCTGGAGACTGGCTAGGCCACTCCAGGACCTTGAAATGCTTCTTACGAAGCCACTCCTTCATTGCCCGGGCGGTGTGTTTGGGATCATTGTCATGCTGAAAGACCCAGCCACGTTTCATCTTCAATGCCCTTGCTGATGGAAGGAGGTTTTCACTCAAAATCTCACGATACATGGCCCCATTCATTATTTCCTTTACACGGATCAGTCGTCCTGGTCCCTTTGCAGAAAAACAGCCCCAAAGCATGATGTTTCCATCCCCATGCTTCACAGTAGGTATGGTGTTCTTTGGATGCAACCTAGCATTATTTGTCCTCCAAACACGACGAGTTGAGTTTTTACCAAAAAGTTATATTTTGGTTTCATCTGACCATATGACATTCTCCCAATCCTCTTCTGGATCATCCAAATTCACTCTAGCAAACTTCAGACGGGCCTGGACATGTACTGGCTTAAGCAGGGGGACACGTCTGGCACTGCAGGATTTGAGTCCCTGGCGGCGTAGTGTGTTACTGATGGTAGGCTTTGTTACTTTGGTCCCAGCTCTCTGCAGGTCATTCACTAGGTCCCCCCGTGTGGTTCTGGGATTTTTGCTCACCGTTCTTGTGATCATTTTGACCCCACAGGGTGAGATCTTGCGTGGAGCCCCTGATCGAGGGAGATTATCAGTGGTCTTGTATGTCTTCCATTTCCTAATAATTGCTCCCACAGTTGATTTCTTCAAACCAAGCTGCTTACCTATTGCAGATTCAGTCTTCCCAGCCTGGTGCAGGTCTACAATTTTGTTTCTGGTGTCCTTTGACAGCTCTTTGGTCTTGGCCATAGTGGAGTTTGAAGTGTGACTGTTTGAGGTTGTGGACAGGTGTCTTTTATACTGATAACAAGTTCAAACAGGTGCCATTAATACAGGTAACGAGTGGAGGACAGAGGAGCCTCTTAAAGAAGAAGTTACAGGTCTGTGAGAGCCAGAAATCTTGCTTGTTTGTAGGTGACCAAATACTTATTTTCCACCATAATTTGCAAAGAAATTCATAAAAAATCCTACAATGTGATTTTCTGGATGTTTTTTTCTCATTTTGTCTGTCATAGTTGACGTGTACCTATGATGAAAATTACAGGCCTCTCTCATCTTTTTAAGTGGGAGAACTTGCACAATTGGTGGCTGACTAAATACTTTTTTTCCCCACTGTATACCCAGAAGAACACACATACGCAAGAATGCGTACACAAACACAAATGAATGCATGGACACACCAGGGTTTCCATTAGCTGGTAATAGCTGTTTTTTGTCGGATAAATACAATTGGCGCCACCAATTGTCCAGGAGAAGATTACAAAAATTCATTGATGGAAATACCAGTCAATGGAAACATTGACTGGTCATGCTTATCGGGCTATAGGTTAATTTGCATAATTTCGTGGAATTAAATTGGCGTCTGTGTACAATATATTCGTTATGTATCTTATCACACGCGTACAGTACACAGATACAGAGCCTGTGAGCAGAAAATCGGTCAGACAGTGCAGGAGCTGCTGCTACAGCATCTTGTGCTACTTTCAAGATAATTGGGAACTCATGACGTCAGTGATCTTCAGATCGGGAAGTTGGAGCTCTAGAAGAAATCCTTTTTGTAATGTTTTTATTGACAATATCTGTTGGGGGAAAAGTTGGATGTTGCCACACACATACTTAACAAAATTAAGGAAGTTTCTTTTTAAATTATTCATAAAAATGATCCTGCCAACCACTATATGAAGAAGTTTAAAATAAAAACATACATTCAAATTGTACCTTTTGTAATGACCACCCAGAAACGGTGTTGCATCTTTTTTGGCATTGTATTCATGTAAGGAATCTGTGGCAAGACATCAGCAGATGTATAATTGAACACATTTATGAAGATTTTACACTATTATGGAGAGATGTACTGCTTGGATTCTTTACCTACAATAGAAATAAGTTGAAGCAATTTTATGTAATTAATTTCCTTATTCTTTTGGCCAAATGTCATATTCAGAAATGTAAAATGTACAAACAAAACACATCTTCTACCTTACAAAAGAAATTGAACTATATTTTTGATCAATGTAATACTCTACCAACAAAAAAGCTGTTAGAATTATAAATGTGTGTATGCCCTTTAAGGTCCTTGTGTAATGTGATATTGTACCCCTTAGCCCAATTGTCCGAGTTGGATGACCGTTCAAAACGATTTTTCCCAGTCTGAGCTTGTTTTTTCTCAGATGTACGCATTCCCAGTTGTTTTGAACGCGGCATCAACCAGCAACGGAAGGCAGGCTTCATCAGTGCGTCACACACCTCTTTGCAATGAGCTGGAGGCAGTATGCATTTTGAAAACATATACTTATATGTATTAAAACGTTCAGTTTTCAAACAATTGAGGCATGTCTTACCTTGCTTCAAAGTATCCTATTAGATCCCCTCGTTCTAAATTTCTAACAGATATTTTCAACTCTGTCACATGAAACTGCTCACATATACAGTGCCCTTTTGTCAAAAAGGTGTTTTCCCGCTAATTGCGTTATAGAACGAACATTCGTTCGTAGCCTACTGCCTTGTGCGCATTGCTGCGCTTATAATGTGTACAAATAATAGTTCAACAACATTTTAAGCTTAATGTTCTGATCTGTAGCATCAGACTCATTGCTTTTTAAATGTAGCATAGGCCTACTGGTTGTATGAATTTGGGATCCATCTTCCCACAACTGGCCCACAGTGTTTAGAATAGGATATTAATTTATCGACCAGCTGACCAAAGATAGGTAGCCTAAACTTTTCTACTATAGTAGATTGACATAGGCTAGTGATTTTTCTGTTCGTTACTCGTTGTGTTGGCTGAGGAGAAGTACATGTGGACAGTTATTCTAACATGTTCAAAGTGCACATCGTTGCATCCTCGACTTGCATGTTCTGTTAATATGAATTACCATATTTTAAATGTGATTTCTGTTATTCAGAGCAACGTGGGTGGACGCCCTAATCAGGTTAAGCGCCCTATGCATATGAGTCCGGTAAATTCAAATGTTGCCGGTCAAATGTTCGGCAACACATTTTCCTAACGGAAACCCTGGGACACACACAAATAAACGGAAATTAATACAACAATTACAACTCATACAAATTGCATTCAGATGCAGTACATAAGTATTTACTTCTGTTGAATGAATGTGATGGATTTATTAATACCAAATGTTTACCTCTACACAAAAAAAAAGATTGCAGTTTTAAAACTGCTGTAAAAGTGCAGTAACTGCAGTCAACTGGTATTTTGGACTAAGTATTTGCAACATACTGCAGTTATACTGCACTCTAACGGCAATCTTCTTTTGTAAGGGAAGACATGTCTGTACATCTCACTCTCCCCTGTATCTTCCCCTTGCATGCCCAATATTATGAAACTGTTGCAGCACATACACACACACACACAGCAGAAACTTCTGTTTATAATTACTGGGTGTGAAACCGCGAGAGCTGCTTCTTTACAACATACTGCTTCTGACAACAGGCAGACACAGAGCTGCTACCCCCTCAGGCTCCTCTCTGTATCAAAGCCTGCCTCCTTAGCTCCCCTCCCTTCATAGGCTTGAAGCGAGGGATAGATGTGTTTTATAAAAGAGGGCTCTATCTGCAGGGCACTTTAGTCATCCTGTGCAAAGGACAGAATAACACAGCTACACTAACGACAGAGAGGGATACACACACATATGCACACACTCTCATACACCACACACACAACCCCCTCACACATCAATTTAGCAAAACATAATGTCCCTACTTCCAGCCATGCAGAATTGACCCATGTAGGAGCCCAAGGCGTAATGGAGAACTGATTAATGTGTTCGAATCCTGCACAGTTTACACACACTGAGTGCTTATAGTGGTACACTATGAAGATAACAATGTGTTTCTGGGTACTGCAGGATAATTTGTATGACTTTACGGTCATGTTCAGGTTTGCATAACCATCCTGAAATCACTGTGAGAGATACTATTATCCCTTTCATACACAGACCAAAACCCACTAATTTACCATGCCTGCATTTTTATAGCAGCTTTTTTGTAAATCTGAAATGGGTAGGGGGTAAAAAAAACATGTAGAAATAAAAGCCACCTAAAGACCTAGTCATGATTCGTGCACCATCCCTACAGGTATTGGGTTTGTGTGAATGGTTCTCTGCTTTTTTGCAGGTAAATTCATGAATGATTCCATTTTTTAACACCTCCCTAATTTGAACTGCAAACAGCCCCCATGGTTTAACAACACCCCCCCCCCCCCTTCTAATTTGCCATTAACCCACTGATACAGTGCATTCAGAAAGTATTCAGACCCCTTCCCTTTTTCCACATTTTGTTACATTTACGTCATTTAGCAGACGCTCTTATCCAGAGCGACTTACAAATTGTTACTTTACAGTCTTATTCTAAAATGTATTAAATATTTTTTCTCTTCACTCTACACACAATACCCCATAATGACAAAGTTAAGAGGTTTTTAGAAGTGTTTGCAAATTTATTAAAAATTAAAAACAAATACCTTATTTACATAAGTATTCAGACCCTTTGCTATGAGACTCAAAATTGAGCTCAGGTGCATCCTGTTTCCATTGATCATCCTTGAGATGTTTCTACAACTTGATTGGAGTCCACCTGTGGTCAATTAAACAGATTGGACATGATTTGGAAAAGGCACACACCTGTCTATATAAGGTCCCACAGTTGACAGTGCATGTCAGAGCAAAAACGTAAAAGTAATGAGGTCGACAGAGCTCCAGAGCTCCTCTGTGGAGATGGGAGAACCTTCCAGAAGGACAACCATCTCTGCAGCACTCCACCAATCAGGCCTTTATGGTAGAGTGGCCAGATGGAAGCCACTACTCAGTAAAAAGGCACATGACAGCCCGCTTGGAGTTTGCCAAAAGGCACCTGAAGGACTCAGACCATGAGAAACAAGATTATCTGGTCTGATGAAACCAAGATTGAACTCTTTGGCCTGAATGCCAAGCGTCACGTCTGGAGGAAACCTGGCACCATCCCTACGGTGAAGCATGGTGGTGGCAGCATCATGCTGTGGGGATGTTTTTCAGGGGCAGGGACTGGGAGACTAGTCAGGATCGAGGGAAAGATGAACGGAGGAAAGTAGAGAGATCCTTGATGAAAACCTGCTCCAGAGTGCTCAGGACCTCAGACTGGGGCGAAGGTTCACCTTCCAACAGGACAACGACCCTAAGCACACAGCCAAGACAACACAGGAGAGGCTTCGGGACAAGTCTCTGAATGTCTTTGAGTGGCCCAGCCAGAGCCCGGACTTGAACCCAATCGAACATCTCTGGAGACCTGAAAATAGCTGTGCAGCCATGCTCCCCAACCAACCTGACAGAGCTTGAGAAGATCTGCAGAGAAGAATGGGAGAAACTCCCCAAATACAGGTGTGCCAAGCTTGTAGCGTCATACCCAAGAAGACTCAAGGCTGTAATCGCTGCCAAAGGTGCTTCAACAAAGTACTGAGTAAAGTGTCTGAATACTTACTTAAATGTGATATCAGTTTTTTGCAAAAAAAACTAAAAACCTGTTTTTGCTTTGTCATTTGTTTAGATTCATTAGTAAAAAAAACTATTTAATCCATTTTGGAATAAGGCTGTAAAGTAACAATTTGGAAAAAAATCAAGGGGTCTGAATACTTTCTGAATACACTGTATTATTAAAAGGGGTATACCTGCCAATAAGTGGTAAATAAGGGGCTGTTTGAAAGGGGGTCATATAAATATTGCCTTATATTTTTACAGGTAAAATACCACATCTGCTGTCTGAAATGGGTATAAGTTTGTATGTGTAAAAAAAGGTTGGGAAATGAGGTGTACTATCTGGTTAAGAGACTGTGTTAGCCTAGGCATTAGCTCAGAAATAAAACAAGTCTTCATGCCTCAGGCAGGTTTATGCATAAGTAACAAAGGTGGTTTGGTTGAACTATGCTCGGGTGAGAAGTAAGGTAATGTATTAGGCCTATTTGACTTTATTGGTGAGTTGTGAGCTATTTTGGAAAAGTGCTGTCCTCCTGGAGTGTGTCCTGTACCTTGAAGTCCTCTGGGAGCAGTAGTTTGCAGGTCCTGAGGAAGCTGAGGATGTATCTGAATATATCTCCATCCCTGTCGATGAAGTAGTGCTGCTTCAAGCTGTCCAGTACAATGGGCTCTGTTCCATTAAACAGACGACTGATTCTGGAGAACAGAGAAAGAATGGTTGAGAGCTCTAGATTCATACTATGAATCAAGTAGTACTTGAAGTATGTTTAGTGAACTGTAAAAATTGTTTCTAGTGTAGCTGATCATTCCTTGAGAGTGATGTATGTCATGTAGGCCTACATTTTACGCAGGAAGTGGGCGACAAAGTTTATTTTAGAACAGAAAATAAATTGGGTCTACTACGTCTTCTGAATCACGTACTCATACTGGGTTGAATACAACACTCTCTCTCGCGCTCTCTCAAAATCAATGAAAACTGCACAGTACTCAACATTATTCTCCTCTCTGCCTGAGGTGGTCCTCTACTCTTCCAGCAGAAGTCTCACCTCACATCTCCAGGCAGCTCAGCCTTCTCTCTGCCTTCTCCACCCTCTCGGTCTTCCAAAAAAGCAATTAAAATCGAGCCTTTTCTTTTCTCTCTCTGCTCTCTCTCTCTGTATTTGCTTGCTCTCAAACCAATTATCATGGATACCAAGCTGCTTGTGTTTCAACATGATGCTATGTGGATTTCTAGAAGTAATTGAAAAATGTATCAGTCATAATGCACAGTCAGTAGACCTATCCATGAAGCTGACATTTTTTCCATAGGATAAAAGTTAGTATTGAATTATATTCCATGAGGAAATTATTCACATTGTCATGGTGGTACTATGCTTCATGGCCTTATACCCTTACCTAGACTCTGGGTATTTGGTGAGAGTACCCAGACTGCTGGTGTACATGTGTCCTCCCACATCGATGTGGACCGGGGCGTTGGCTTTAGTCAGCTGGGCCGGTGATGGGATGCCCTGGGCATTCATTGGAGAAACTGGAGAACGACTCATGGACATCCTGGACATGCTCCTTCCCTCCTACAGGAACACATGGAAACAGATAGTATTTGTTATAGAAGTGTGTACTGTAGCTGCCCTGAGATGAGTAAAGTGAAAAGTAGTGTGATGTCTACTTTTCATTAAAGTTAGGCTACTGATTGTGTAATGACATGAAGCGATAGCAAATTAGGTGTAAGAGTATACAGTAGTGTAGACTCTGGCTCGCAGCCAATCAAATTGTTTGAAAGATACATAAGCCTCAACGTTCCCCAATTAACATGAATACAATATTCATAAGCTGCAGACAGTAGTTGAAGTTGCCCACATTGGGTGAACAGAGGGTGTTCATGACCCCAGGGAACTGGGCAAGTGCAGCTTCTGGATTAATTAAACCAACCAACCATCCCCCACCAGGTCTCTCCATTGTAAAGAGGTTCTTTGAACCATAAAAAGGTGAACAGGAGGTGAACTTCATTCAGTGTTTTGCCAGGGGCAAGATGCCCGGGGCTGCTGAGCAGAGCACACAGAGTCCTCACTATATTTCCTGGGTGTTGCCTCCTCTGCATAGTCAGAAACCAGTATTTTACGAAATCCAATTATTAATGTATTTTTAAAACACATTTCAGGTTATAAAACCAAGAGAAAAAAAATGATTGCAGAGATTCTACAGTTGTGGTCAAAGGTTTTGAGAATGACACAAGTATTGGTCTTCACAAAGTTCGCTGCTTCAGTGTTATGAGATATTTTTGTCAGATGTTACTATGGTTTACTGAAGAATAATTACAAGCATTCCATAAGTGTCAAAGGCTTTTATTGACAATTACATTCAGTTTATGCAAAGAGTCAATATTTGCAGTGTTGACCCTTCTTTTTCAAAACCTCTGCAATCCGCCCTGGCATGCTGTCAATTAACTTATGGGCCACATTCTGACTGATGGCAGCCCATTCTTGCATAATCAATGCTTGGAGTTTGTCAGAATTTGTGGGTTTTTGTTTGTCCACCCGCCTCTTGAGGATCGACCACAAGTTCTCAATGGGATTAAGGTCTGGGGAGTTTCCTGGCCATGGACCCAAAATGTCGATGTTTTGTTCGCCGAGCCACTTAGTTATCACTTTTGCCTTATGGCAAGGTGCTCCATCATGCTGGAAAAGGCATTGGTCGTCACCAAACTGTTCTGGATGGTTGGGAGAAGTTGCTCTCGGAGGATGTGTTGGTACCATTCTTTATTCATTGCTGTGTTCTTAGGCAGAATTGAGAGTGAGCCCACTCCCTTGCCTGAGAAGCAACCCCACACATGAATGGTCTCAGGATGCTTTACTGTTGGCATGACACAGGACTGATGGTAGCGCTCACCTTGTCTTCTCCGGACAAGGTGTTTTCTGGATGCCCCAAACAATCGGAAAGGGGATTCATCAGAGAAAATGACTTTACCCCAGTCCTCAGCAGTCCAATCCCTGTACCTTTTGCAGAATATCAGTCTGTCCCTGATGTTTTTCCTGGAGAGAAGTGGCTTCTTTTCTGCCCTTCTTGACACCAGGCCATCCTCCAAAAGTCTTCACCTCACTGTGCGTGCAGATGCACTCACACCTGCCTGCTGCCATTCCTGAGCAAGCTCTGCACTGGTGGTACCCTGATCCCGCAGCTGGACTTTCTTGGGCGCACTGACGCCTTCTTCACAACAATTGAACCTCTCTCCTTGAAGTTCTTGATGATCCGATAAATGGTTGATTTAGGTGCAATCTTACTAGCAGCAATATCCTTGCCTGTGAAGCCCTTTTTGTGCAAAGCAATGATGACGGCACGTGTTTCCTTGCAGGTAACCATGGTTAACAGAGGAAGAACAATGATTTCAAGCACCACCCTCCTTTTAAAGCTTCCAGTCTGTTATTCTAACTCAATCAGCATGACAGAGTGATCTCCAGCCTTGTCCTCGTCAACACTCTCACCTGTGTTAACGAGAGAATCACTGACATGATGGCAGTTGGTCCTTTTGTGGCAGGGCTGAAATGATGTGGAAATGTTTTTTGGGGATTAAGTTCATTTTCATGGTAAAGAGGGACTTTGCAATTAATTGCAATTCATCTGATCACTCTTCATGACATTCTGGAGTATATGCAAATTGCCATCATCAAAACTGAGGCAGCAGACTTTGTGAAAATTAGTATTTGTGTCATTGTCAAAACTTTTGATCACGACTGTACTTTACTTACCACTTGCATACTTTCCCCCCATATTTTGAAATTGCATATTCTTTACCATATTATTCCAGACATTAATTAAATCAAGATGCAGTATAGAGGTCAAATCGAACTCGACCAAAACAATGGAATTGCCATAAACGCGTGGGGGAAAGGGCCATGGGGGAAAGATCCGAATCTCCTCATTGCTCTCCAGCAAAATTAGCCTACGTTTAGGCTACTGTTTATATGTGTATTTCACAATATGTTGAGGTAAAAATCGGAGTATAATGTTTGTATGGATGTCAACCCCAACACATGTTCATGCCATAGTCACCAATCAACTGCATTACAGTTAAAGGTGCTACACATAGGATTTTATTTTATTTTTGCATTGTAATTTCAGAAAATGTCAGTGTACAATTTTAGCAACCAGGATTACCATTAGATAACGCAGCCACAAAGTCAGAACAGCTTTCCCAGTTTGACAACAGCTGCTGCTCCAGCGGGAGAAATCAATAGGCGAATATCACAGCCAATCACAACACTGGCGGGTAAATAATACTATGAAACACTATCATTCCACTATTACCGCCAGATATATTAATGACATTTTCTGAAATTACAATGCCAAAATTATTTTTAAAATCCTATGTGTAGCACCTTTAAATACGAGGACTACCTCCACCTATTTAAAAATGTTTAAAATATATATATATATATATGTATGCCAGCTATGCTAACCAGTTTATTCGAACGGGAGAGCATCTAGCTTCTAAACCTGAAAAGGGACTACTAAATGTTATGCAGCGAATTTGATTTAAGTAACCACATTGTGGGTCTGTTACAATACATAAATCATGTCGGATTTGACGAATATCCACTTTGTTAGATCAGATTTGTTGAATGTGCACCAATCTGGTCAATGGAACGTCTGAGTTCCATCGACCCCTTTACCGCATTTAGAATCGAATAGAAACTACAGTATCTCAATAAATTGAACCCACCGTTTCAAACATTTTAGGAGATCAGATGCGTTCCGGTGAAGCTTCCATTCTGCGTTTCGCTAAAATATGAAAAATTAATATGGCACAATCCACTGACGGCTCGTTTTTCTTGGCGTTTGGAGTCCAAATGTTTTGAAGATTTTGGGGATAATCCCGGGAAATCTATACCAACGCAAGGATTTTAGAGAGTCCCTGTGTCTTTAAGATTCAATTTGTCAGACAGACTAGCCTACAGGTTCTCCCTCCCCCCCAAAAAAACTACCAACGAATTAAATTGCGTCCTTACCTGGGAGGACACGGATAGAGAAGACATAGGAATCTCTTCTCCCTTCCAATTTTATCTCTGTTTTATGCAAATGTGGTCGTCGTTTGCTGTATATCCGTCTTTGTCCGGGTCTTTCCTTTTCTGATATGATGAAACCGTCGAGTTTTATGAGAAGAAAGCCAGTCCGTCTCTAAATAAGAAGAGGGTTAGAAGTATTCTTGCTCTGGGCTATTCAAACGCCCGCAGGGCAAGGATTATGTTACAATAGAGCAGCCTTTTCTCTCTCGCCTCATCTCGGTTCAAGATGAAAATGAAATCCACTGTTTCTTATTTCACACCTCAATTTGATTTTTACCAAAAACATCGCAGTTTTATTCCAACGGAGAGCAGTCAGGTCTGCTGCATGGGTTGCAGTGTTCGGTTTAATCTTGCCCCCTATCGGATTGAGTGTCATAATTCACTCACCGGATTTAGTAGTGTGAAAATTGGCTACATTCGTCCTAAAAAACATACATCTAACTTGTTGATAAAATGTCTACTAAAGGGATACTGTGAATGTCCATAAAACTATAAAATGATAGGCTCTTAAATAAAACTGTCGCACAGACAGGGCGCACGCAGATCCTTTCAGTCCTGTAGTGTTCTCGTCTCTCTCCCCAATAGTTTATATTTTAACATCTAACTGGCATTTAAACCAAATTACGTCTATCGTCATGCATTATGCCATTGCAAAACTCGCCTTCGGCAAAATGCGCCATTTCAGTAATTGCGCTCTAGTAGATGGAGATGTTTGCCCTGAGCGCTTGCAGGGCGTGATCTAGCCATATGGTCACCACTTTGCGTTCCATTGCGCAGAAAGAGTCCAAAAGCTGTAATGTCCATTTTTGCACCAGTGCTTTAGACATTAACTGTCAGGGTTGGGGATTACATCAATTACATGTAATCTGATTACAAAAAACGAATGTGTTACTTTACCAGCAACACTATTGTAATCCTGAGCATGTCTGACCACAAGTCAGAGACCACTATGATGACACACCATATGTGTTTAGTGGATCCTTTTTTTCTTCTAATGCCTCTTAAGGGAAAAGTAATCCAACAGTAACTGAAAGTAATCAGATTACGAATCCTAAAGTTGCCCCCCCCCCCCCATTTTATTCATATTATAAGGATCCAAGACAGACCATATTGAGAGCACACTGCAAAATACTGTCCGGCACAAAAATGAACCTTAAAAATATACGTAGGCTAGCCTAACTGTGAACCATTTCAAGCATTACCCAATGCTTTCCCTCTGGTATGAAGCTATGGGTGAGGAGGATGGGATGGACATAAAATACATTGCTTTGATAATTTCCTTGTTCATTTTTACATGAAAGTCATTCTCTTCATCAGTTAAATCAACCAAGGAAATAGAGCAATACACACAATGTCTGTTTGATACTAAGACTCCTGTGTTAAATCCTCCTCTTCCATTTGTTTTTGCCCCAGGATGATGCTGTGCATGTGTCTTCCTCTGCTGTAGTGAAAACCAACACAAGGACTTGATTCTGGCTCTGTTCCAAATTACACCCTATTCCCTATATAGTGACTACTTTTGACCAGCGCCTATAGGACTGTAGTCAAAAGTGGTGCACTATAGGAATAGGGTGCCATTTGGGACAAACTACTATTTTTTTCTAATTATAGAAACCCTGCAGTTAGTTCAATTAGATTAAATATGGGAAAGATGTTGTGAATTTGCAGATTTAAATAGCTGGCAAAGTCACCTCAGGCATTGGCAGTTAATTTTCTTAATTTATGAATGTTATGCTGAGTGTCTGATATGAGAAGGATGTGGAAAGAGAAGAAGCAGCTCAGTTGTCTTTATGTCCAAAGAGTTCATCTTCAAATAAAGAAAATTAACCGTCTCACTTTTGAAGTCATAAACGCAACATGTAAAGTGTTGGTCCCATGTTTCATAAGCTGAAATAAAAGATCCCAGAAATTTTCCATTGGCACAAAAAGCTTATTTCTCTCATGTTTTGCACAAATTTGTGTACAACCCTGTTAGTGAGCATTTTATATTTTGTCAAGATAATCCATCTACCTGACAGGTGTGGCATATCAAGAAGCTTTTTAAACAGCATGACCATTACACAGGTGCACCTTGTGCTGGGGACAATAAAAGGCCACTCTAAAATGTGCAGTTTTGTCACACAACACAACACAATGCCACAGCTGTCAAGTTTTGAGGGAGCATGCAATTGGCACGCTGACTGCAGGAATGTCCACCAGAGCTGTTGGCAGAGAATTGAATGTTCATTTCTCTACCATAAGCCACCTCCAACGTCATTTTAGATCATTTGGCAGTACGTCCAACCGACCTCACAACCGCAGACCATGTGTAACCATGCCAGCCCAGGACCTCCACAGCTGGCTTCTTCACCTGCGGGATTGTCAGAAGAGGGAAGGAAGGGTGCTGAGGAGTATTTCTGTCTGTAATAAAGCCCTTTTGTAGGGAAAAACTCATTCTGATTGTCTGGGCCTGGCTCCCCAGTGGGTCGGCCTGGCTTTCAAGTGGGTGGGCCAGGCCAACCCATGACTGCTCCCCTGCCCAGTCGTGAAATCCATAGATTAGGGCCTAATTCATTTATTTCAATTGACTGATTTCCTTATATGAACTGTAACTCAGCAAAATCTTTGAAATTGTTGCATATTGCGTTTATATTTTTGTTCAGTATAAATATCTAATCTAATTTCCTATGCTCTGATCTAAGGCAGATTCGCAACATACCACCAACAGTTTTAATGATAATTAAGTTAAATTATAACCCTGAACCTTCAAACTTAGTTGATAACCTTACACTGACTCAGACAAAGAATAATGAAAAACTTTCGATGTGGTACATAGATCTATTACTGTTCAGAAGAGTGAAACCAATTAATTAGCATCCATGTGCCAATGTTTGTCTCAATTGGCCAAACTGTGTCCATCTATGGTTCTGATGAGTCCTCTGAATCTTTCTGCCTCGGGGGTAAGAGTGCCCCACCCCTGCTCCCTTCCTGACACTGTGCCTGGGGGCCCCGGCCTGATGAGAGACAAAGGGGGAGGGGGGCTAAGAGTGGCCCACAGGCCAGGGGAATGAGACATGACAAATCTTTTTTTTTTTAAACCTTTATTTAACTAGGCAAGTCAGTTAAGAACAAATTCTTATTTACAATGACGGCCTACACCGGCCAAACCCAGATGACGCTGGGCCAATTGTGCGCCGCCCTATGGGACTCCCAATCACGGCCAGTTGTGATACAGCCTGGAATCGAACCAGGGGGTCTGTAGGGACGCCTCAAGCCTTAGACCGCTGCGCCACTCGGATTAGATAAATAAAGTGTCAAATTTGTAATTTGAAGTGGAGGAAATTTTAACATTTGTCACTTTTCCTAAAACCAGACCTGGAAAAACAGATACATGTTTTTATTTAATTACTAAACATTTATTCATAGTAACGGCGCTTGAAAACCCAAACAAATGAACATGAACATGTAAATTGGCAGTGTTAAGGATAGGATATAAAATCATGTTTGTAGATGGAACACTTCTGCACAGACATGTAGAACAATTGTACGTTCACTCTTTACAGTGTAATAATTTGTATTGTAACATGAGGCCCATATAATTACCCAAAACCTAAATCATATCTGTTTCAATATAAATTGCCAACAGATTCAAAGATAATTTACCATCAGATAGATCTGGAAGGCTATATGCAATGAAACAACATACCCCGTGTAGCTCAGTTGGTAGAGCATAGCGCTTGCAACACCAGGGTTGTGAGTTCGTTTCCCACGGGGGGCCAGTATGAAAAATGTATGCACTCACTAACTGTAAGTCGCTCTGGATAAGAGTGTCTGCTAAATGACTAAAATGTAAATGTAATTGCACTATTTACTCCTCTATTCAGGGAGTCTTTTTCAGCTCGAGACCCAAATGATTAATTGACTGTCTTCCCATGACCCAAAATGCCCTCCAACGACCCAAATTAAGAAGAAATAGTGTGTGATTATAGATTCATTCTCATAACTCGCGACCTACCTCTCACATGCCCAAGGCCCACTTTGGGTCCCGACCCATAGTTTAAGAAACCTGCGTTTGATATCTTTTTCCTGTCCCTTATTTCATGTGTTTCTGTATTTGAGTAATATACTGTAACAAGTCTATTTCATGTACTGTATGTAAAATACATAAATACCCCAAGAGCAAGTGTGGTTTTTAAATCAAATTTAATTATATTCAAATTGTCTAAGAAATGTGTGCTATTTCTCATCAGTAGACAGTAGCTGTGAAATCTGTTACAGTATCTACAAACACTAGTCTTTGCTTTGGGAGAGTATACAGTTGAAGTCGGAAGTTTACATACACCTTAGCCAAATACATTTAAACTCAGTTTTTCACAATTCCTGACATTTAATCCTAGTAAAAATTCCCTGTTTTAGGTCAGTTAGGATCACCACTTTATTTTAAGAATGTGAAATGTCAGAATAATAGTAGAGAGAATGATTTATTTCAGCTTTTATTTCTTTCATCAAATTCACAGTGGGTCAGAAGTTTACATACACTCAATTAGTATTTGGTAGCATTGCCTTTAAATTGTTTAACTTGGGTCAAATGTTTCGGGTAGCCTTCCACAAGCTTCCCACAATAAGTTGGGTGAATTTTGGCCCAATCCTCCTGACAGAGCTGGTGTAACTGAGTCCGGTTTGCAGGCCTCCTTGCTCGCACACGCATTTTCAGTTCTGCCCACACATTTTCTATAGGATTGAGGTCAGGGCCTTGTAATGGCCACTCCAATACTTTGACTTTGTTGTCCTTAAGCCATTTTGCCACAACTTTGGAAGTATGCTTGGGGTCATTGTCCATTTGGAAGACCCATTTGCGACCAAGCTTTAACTGATGTCTTGAGATGTTGCTTCAATAAATCCACATAATTTTCCTTCCTCATGATGCCATCTATTTTGTGAAGTACACCAGTCCCTCATGCAGCAAAGCACCCCCACAGCATGATGTTGCCTCACCCGTGCTTCACGGTTGGGATGGTGTTCTTCGGCTTGCAAGCAACCCCCTTTTTCCTCCAAACATAACAATGGTCATTATGGCCAAACAGTTATATTTTTGTTTCATCAGACCAGAGGACGTTTCTCCAAAAAGTACGATCTTTGTCCCCATGTGCAGTTGCAAACCGTAGTCTGGCTTTTTTATGGCGGTTTTGGAGCAGTGGCTTCTTCCTTGCTGAGCGGCCTTTCAGGTTATGTCGATATAGGACTCGTTTTACTGTAGATACTTTTGTACCTGTTTCCTCCAGCATCTTCTCAAGGTCCTTTGCTGTTCTGGGATTGATTTGCACTTTTCGCACCAAAATACATTCATCTCTAGGAGACAGAACGTGTCTCCTTCCTGAGTGGTATGACGGCTGTGTGGTCTCATGGTGTTTATACTTGCGTACTATTGTTTGTACAGATGAACGTGGTACCTTCAGGCATTTGGAAATTGCTCCCAAGGATGAACCAGACTTGTGGAGGTCTACAATTTTTTTCTGAGGTCTTGGCTGATTTCTTTTGATATTCCCATGATGTCAAGCAAAGAGGCACTGAGTTTGAAGGTAGGCCTTGAAATACATCCACAGGTACACCTCCAATTGACTCAAATGATGTCAATTAGCCTATCAGAAGCTTCTAAAGCCATGACATCATTTTCTGGAATTTTCCAAGCTGTTTAAAGGCACAGTCAACTTAGTGTATGTAAACTTCTGACCCACTGGAATTGTGATACAGTGAATTATAAGTGAAATAATCTGTCTTTAAACAATTGTTGGAAAAATGACTTGTGTCATGCACAAAGTAGATGTCCTAACCGACTTGCCAAAACTATAGTTTCGTTAACAAGAAATGTGTGGAGTGGTTGAAAAACGAGTTTTAATGACTCCAACCTAAGTGTATGTAAACCTCCGACTTCAACTGTATCTAGCTTCTCTCTTTCCCTTCTTTTCATAAACTTACTGCAGAATAAGAATACACATGATTGAAGATGACCAAAAAGTATACCTTCACATAACAATGCTGTAAGAATTACACAATTAACAGATCATTAATTCTTAACCCAAGGTCACTTCATAGAAGTCACTGGTCTGCCAATCAATAAAAAATGCATTTGACACACTATACAAAGCTTTATAACAAAAACCTGTAGGCCTACAACCTATGCCCAAAGTAATCACATGAAATCATAATTTTAGCCATTTGAAAATAAGACCCGTAAAAATAATCCTTCACATGAATGTGCCTGTAGTGCTTATTCAAGTCCCACAGGATAATAATCTCTTCCGTAGTGTTCATATTAATCTCAACCTGGCAATCCAGCCAGTACCTCAGTACAGGTCTTTAAAGGGCTTGGGGTAGTTAAACATCAGATAATCCATGTAATAAAAGTCATAGGCCCTCTGTCTCTCTGTGGAGTTCAATTGCTCAAAGTATCTCTGGGTGATGGTGGAGGAAGTCCTTTCTGCCTTTGGGTTCCTGTCTTTAAAGTCAGGGAAAGTTAGGTTGCTAGGCGCCCCGATGCTCTGTAGCAGGAAGTTGGCCTCCTCCTTCAGGCTCTCGAACTTCCCGATGAAATCATAGTGCAGCAGGCAGGGGCTGCAGAGCTGGCTGACCGGCTCCCAGTGGATGTCCATGCCCACGGGCCGTCTCACATCTAACAGGTACTGGACAAACTCTCTGAAGGTGACCCCGGCGCCGGTCCTTAGGGCGGCGCGCGAGGCATTGGCCCGGTACCGGGAGATGATGGGCCGGCCGAACACCGGGTGGTAGTACGAGTTCGGGCTCTCGAACTTGTCGCGGAAGGCCGACACAAGCCTCTCGAAGGGCTCCCGTACGAAGAGGACCTTGGTGTAGGAGCGGAGGCGCTTGGCCACGCCCGCCTGGTCGTAGGCGTCTAGTCGGCGGAGCTGGTTGGCGTAGTGGGCATTGTCGTGGGCGATGACGTGCGTGGAGGTGGCGCTGCCGCCCAGGACCATCAGCACCCGCTTCCAGTTGGAGCAGCCGGCTTTGGGCACCTCACAGTACAGCAGGCCTGACCTATTATTATTTAACCAATACAACAGAAATATATTAATAGTTATCTGGGGCTGTATCCTGTATGTATCTAGCATCTGAGAGTAGGAATCCTGATTTCGGATCAGTTCTGCCTTTTAGATCACAATGAATTAAATTACATGGATGGGGGGACCTCTAGATCAGCCCTGAACATGAATTGCAATGAAATACAATTATACATGTAAGTCATGTACTGTATTTACATATACTGTTAATAATATCTGTAGGTAATTCTCAATGAAATTAACCACTAGAGTTACAACACCTGTCCTCCACGTAGACGCGGGACACCTGCCGGCGGGACACGGGGCGCTTGGTGATGCCCGGCTGGTATTTGGCACAGACCTCCCTCAGCAGTCGGCGGCGGGATGCCTGGGTTTGCGCCAGGCCCTGTAGCCGACGGTCCTCCTCACCAGAGCGGACACCACTAGGGGTTACAGACCCGCTCTTTAACAGCAGCTTCCTGTGGCGTTTGGTGAGCGGTTGCCTGGTGCTCTCAGCCTGCTGGTTCCCAGAGGTTGGGGTGGCTGGGTGGGGCAGCCACTGGAAGGCTGGAGGTTGTCTGGGGCTAGGAATAGGGAGGCTGGGGTAAGAGGACATCTCTACCCCTGGTGCTCCATGGAAACCTCCACCCAGGTCGATGCCCATAACGACTGCACTGTCAAAGGACTGCTCCTGTGGCACACAGAGCACATGGAACAATTGTTAACAGAAGCTCAACTTTACAGAAGATGAATATAGTGCTTGTTTCTCAGGAATCCACAAGATGGTGCCATTACATTATTTTGAGTGAACTGAGCTAACAGAGGCTCAGTGAGTTTAATGTAATCTGATCTGATACAATAATCATACCTTTTGAATGGGCCACATTGGAGCAACCATCAACTTTGCACCTAGAGAGAGAGAGAAAAAGAAAGAGAGAGAGAGAGAGAGAGAGAGAGAGAGAGAGAGAAGAGAGAATAAAAAGAGAGCTCTAGAGAGAGAGAGATGAGGAAGAGACCGATAGCGCTAGCGAGCTTCTCGATGATATACCGCTCGATCCCGATAAAGCGAGACAGCAAAGCGGAAATACCGAGAGACGAGGCGCGACGCCCCCCTCGTTCGCCCGAGGCTTCTGCGACCCCCAACTGGCCTGTGCCGCAGCGCAGAGAAAGAGAGAGAGAGCAAGAGAGAGAGAGAATCCTACATTACATATTACAAAAAGTCCTTTGCTGGTAACAAGTTTCTCCAGCCGAACTGAAATAGTTATCAAGAGAGATGGTGTTGATTACCGATAGTGATATGGGAGAAGAGTCCATTTTATCCCAAGATTAGGTTTTTGATAGAGGCAAGGTGTATGTCTGTGTTTGTGTGCGTTGCCAAGTGATATTCTTTAGACTGGGAAATGTGACTACGCATAATAGGACAGGAATTGTTACAGGACTGGGGAGTGGGGATGCCAAAAATATGCTTTGTCATCACAAAATGTACAGTGCCTTCGGAAAGTATTCAGACCCCTTGACTTTTTCCACATTTTGTTACGTTACAGCCTTATTCTAAAATTGATTAAATAAATAAGCAATCTACACACAATACCCCATAATGACAAAGCGAAAACAGGTTTTTAGAAATGTTTGCAAATGTATTTAAAAAAAGATACCTTATTTACATAAGTATTTATATCCTTTGCTATGAGACTCGAAATTGAACTCAGGTGCATCCTGTTTCCATTGATCATCCTTGAGATGTTTCTACAACTTAATTGGAGTCCACCTGTGGTAAATTCAATTGATTGGACATGATTTGGAAAGGCACACACCTGTCTATGTAAGGTCCCACAGTTGACAGTACATATCAGAGCAAAAACCAAGCCATGAGGTCGAAGGAATTGTCCGTAGAGCTCCGAGATAGGATTGTGTCGAGGCACAGATCTGGGGAAGGGTACCAAAAAATGTCTGCAGCATTGAAGGTCCCCAAGAACACAGTGGCCTCAATCACTCTTAAATGGAAGAAGTTTGGAACCACCAAGACTCTTCCTAGAGATGGCCGCCCGGCCAAACTGAGCAATCAGGGGAGAAGGGCCTTGGTCAGGGAGGTGACAAAGAAGCCGATGGTCACTCTGACAGAGCTCCAGAGTTCCTCTGTGGAGATGGGAGAACCTTCCAGAAGGACAACCATCTCTGCAGCACTCCACCAATCAGGCCTTTATGGTAGAGTGGCCAGACGGAAGCCACTCCTCAGTAAAAGGACGACAGTCCACTTGGAGTTTGCCAAAAGGCACCTAAAGACTATCAGAGTATGAGAAACAAGATTCTGTGGTCTGATGAAACCAAGATTCAACTCTTTGGCCTGAATGCCAAGCATCACATCTGGAGGAAACCTGGCACCATCCCTATGGTGAAGCATGGTGGTGGCAGCATCACATTTACATAAGTACTCAGACCCTTTACTAAGTACTTTGTTGAAGCGCCTTTGACAGCGATTACAGCCTCAAGTCTTCTTGGGTATGACGCTACAAGCTTGGCACACCTGTATTGGGGAGTTTCTCTCATTCTTCTCTGCATATCCTCAAGCACTGTCGGGTTGGATGGGGAGCGTCGCTGCACAGCTATTTTCAGGTCTCTCCAGAGATGTGCGATCGGGTTCAAGTCTGGGCTCTGGCTGGGCCACTCAAGGACATTCAGTGACTTGTCCTGAAGCCATTCCTGCATTGTCTTGGCTTTGTGCTTAGGGTCGTTGTCCTGTTGGAAGGTGAACCTTCGCCCCAGTCTGAGGTCCTGAGCGCTCTGGAGCAGGTTTTCATCAGGGATTTCTCTGTACTTTGCTCCGTTCATCTTTCCCTCAATCCTGACTAGTCTCCCAGTCCCTGCCTGCTGAAAATAATCCCCACAGCATGATGCTGCCACCACCATGCTCCACCATGCCTTTTACTGAGGAGTGGCTTCCGTCTGGCCACTTTACCAAAAAGGCCTGATTGCTGGAGTGCTGCAGAGATGGTTGTCCTTCTGGAAGGTTCTCTTGGTGGTTCCAAACTTCTTCCATTTAAGAATGATGGAGGCCACTGTGTTCTTGGGGACCTTCAATGCTGCAGAACGTTTTTGCTACCCTTCCCCAGATCTGTGTCTCGACACAATCCTGTCTCGGCGCTCTACAGACAATTCCTTCTACCTCATGGCTTGGTTTTTGCTCCGACATGCACTGTCAACTGTGGGACCTTATATAGACAGGTGTGTGCCTTTCCAAATCATGTCCAATCAATTGAATTAACCACAGGTGGACTCCAATCAAGTTGTAGAAATATCTCAAGGATGATCAATGGAAACAGGATGTACCTGAGCTCAATTTCAAATCTCATAGCAAAGGGTCTAAATACTTACAGTGGGGAGAACAAGTATTTGATACACTGCCGATTTTGCAGATTTTCCTACTTACAAAGCATGTAGAGGTCTGTAATTTGTCTCATAGGTACACTTCAACTGTGAGAGACGGAATCTAAAACAAAAATCCGAAAATCACATTGTATGATTTTTAAGTAATTAATTTGCATTTTATTGCATTACATAAGTATTTGATACATCAGAAAAGCAGAACTTAATATTTGGTACAGAAACCTTTGTTTGCAATTACAGAGATCATACGTTTCCTGTAGGTCTTGACCAGGTTTGCACACACTGCAGCAGGGATTTTGGCCCACTCCTCCATACAGACCTTCTCCAGATCCTTCAGGTTTCGCGGCTGTCGCTGGGCAATACGGACTTTCAGCTCCCTCCAAAGATGTTCTATTGGGTTCAGGTCTGGAGACTGGCTAGGCCACTCCAGGACCTTGAGATGCTTCTTACGGAGCCACTCCTTAGTTGCCCTGGCTGTGTGTTTCAGGTCGTTGTCATGCTGGAAAACCCAGCCACGACCCATCTTCAATGCTCTTACTGAGGGAAGGAGGTTGTTGGTCAAGATCTCGCGATACATGGCCCCATCCATCCTCCCCTCAATACGGTGCAGTCGTCCTGCCCCTTTGCAGAAAAGCATCCCCAAATAATGATGTTTCCACCTCCATGCTTCACGGTTGGGATGGTGTTCTTGGGGTTGTACTCATCCTTCTTCTTCCTCCAAACACGGCGAGTGGAGTTTAGACCAAAAAGCTATATTTTTGTCTCATCAGACCACATGACCTTCTCCCATTCCTCCTCTGGATCATCCAGATGGTCATTGGCAAACTTCAGACGGGCCTGGACATGCGCTGGCTTGAGCAGGGGGACCTTGCGTGCGCTGCAGGATTTTAATCCATGACGGCGTAGTGTGTTACTAATGGTTTTCTTTGAGACTGTGGTCCCAGCTCTCTTCAGGTCATTGACCAGGTCCTGCCGTGTAGTTCTGGGCTGATCCCTCACCTTCCTCATGATCATTGATGTCCCACAAGGTGAGATCTTGCATGGAGCACCAGACCGAGGGTGATTGACCGTCATCTTGAACTTTTTCCATTTTCTAATCATTGCGCCAACAGTTGTTGCCTTCTCACCAAGCTGCTTGCCTATTGTCCTGTAGCCCATCCCAGCCTTGTGCAGGTCTACAATTTTATCCCTGATGTCCTTACACAGCTCTCTGGTCTTGGCCATTGTGGAGAGGTTGGAGTCTGTTTGATTGAGTGTGTGGACAGTTGTCTTTTATACAGGTAACGAGTTCAAACAGGTGCAGTTAATACAGGTAATGAGTGGAGAACAGGAGGGCTTCTTAAAGAAAAACGAACAGGTCTGTGAGAGCCGGAATTCTTACTGGTTGTTAGGTGATCAAATACTTATGTCATGCAATAAAATGCAAATTAATTACTTAAAAATCATACAATGTGATTTTCTGGATTTTTGTTTTAGATTCCGTCTCTCACAGTTGAAGTGTACCTATGATAAAAATTACAGACCTCTACATGCTTTGTAAGTAGGAAAACCTGCAAAATCGGCAGTGTATCAAATAGTTGTTCTCCTCACTGTATGTAAATAAGGTATGTGTTTTTTATTTTTAATAAATTAGCAACAATTTCTACAAACCTGTTTTTGCTTTGTCATTATTGGGTACTACTGTGTGTAGATTGATGAGGAAAAAAAGTTGTTTAATCCATTTTAGAATAAGGCTGTAATGTAACAAAATGTGGAAAAAGTCAAGGGGTCTGAATACTTTCCGAATACAATGTATTTGAGCAGAACTGAAAACCAGTCAAACAGAAAACATGATTCATTACAGGGGACTGAGTCACTAGACAGTTTGACATCAGTCAAGGGATGCACAGAAGACAGAACAATGTGAAATGTCTTTCACATTGTGTTGATAATCCATCATAAAATAACACATATTTTTTGGGGGAGGGAAGTAGACACCCAAGAGATGGATGAATACATCAGAAAACATAATTAGTCACCATAGCAGATGTTCAAGACATCACATGGACATTAGAGATGTTGCTTGTGAGAACTACAGTAACTACAGCGCAGGCTACATTTTAAATACATTCATGTAATGATACATGTAATGTTGCATCTAGACTGTATAATGACACTGTGCTTAATTTCTCATGAACTATTTCAAAAACAAGTACTCAATATTGTGTTACTGCTCGATAGCACTAGGCACCTACAAGAAATCTAAATAAATGCAGGGCTATTGGGCTGCTCCACGGGGGGTGACTGATACTCCACATAACAATGAGAACCTTGCCATTCCTTACTAGAACACACACACAAACACAGAGTGTCTGCTAATTTGTATGTACCAGAGGTAATGGGGGATCCAGATGGCTTCACAGTAGTTGCCCTGGGATCATCTTAATACTGAAGGTTACTGCTTTCTGATGGCTGCAGTGTCAGAAGAGCCATGAAGAATCTCTCCTCCTCTCAAGAGGTCAACCACTTCTTACCCTGACTTCTAAGGGACAATATCTGACTGAGTTTGGCATGATAAAGGAAAAGTAAATAAACGATCAACTGTATGAGGGGATATGTTTTTAGCATTATAAAATAACGTATTGCAAATGAATAAGGCTAACAAAGGCATACATTAATGCTAATTACTGGTTATGTCAATTGCCCTTGTGTTGGTTGTCTAAGTAATAGCCCTCAATGGCATATGTTCAGTTTTTCCTCTTCACATATCTGGGAAACCTACTGGTAGTAAGGTCTATTACTGTAGTGTTTACATACTGTATCTATTTAGGGAAGATTGTAAAGCATGCACCTGCTGCCTGCCTAATAACCACTTCCTACCCACACATACCACATTGTGTTGAAAATCCCTAATTGTTTGCTTAGTCAACATACACACAGCTCTGACACACACACTTACCCCATCAGACATGCCACCAGGGGTCTTTTCACAGTCCCCAAATCCAGAACAAATTCAAGAAAGCGTACAGTATTATATAGAGCCATTATTACATGGAACTCTGTTCCATCTCATATTGCTCAAATAAACAGCAAACCTGGTTTCAAAAAAAAAAACAGATAAAGCAACACCTCACGGCACAACGCCTCTCCCCTATTTGACCTAGATAGTTTGTGTGTATGTATTGATATGTAGGCTACGTATGCCTTTTGTAAAAAAAAAAAATGTTTTTAATTTAAGTAGTTCTGTCCTTTTTTTTTATTTTTATTTTTTGAGCTATTGTCTATTATGTCATGTTTTGTGTGGACCCCAGGAAGAGTAGCTGCTGCTTTTGCAACAGCCAATGGGGATCCTAATACAATACAAATTCCACCACACACCACCATCAGTCCCCTTCCTTAATTTCAGGGTTGACTCTCGCATGTCTCTCTGGCAATCACACTCACAGCCGCAACTGTAAACCTAAACATCACTTTTCTGTCTGGAGCTTAGCTCCACGTACGCACACACTCAGACAGACAGACACTGGCCTAACGACCCTGGCCTGCCTATGATGGAGATTACGAGAGGGGAGCGACCTGACTAGGGTTGAATATTTTACAAATGTTCCATCCCAAGAATAAATAGCTTTTCTCCCGGGTAACCCGGTATTTCTCGCCAAAACTGGAAGTGTCATTCAAAAGCATTATAAAGCATGTAAATAGTCCTAAGTGTGGATTTGATTAGAGCGTTGATAAAAAATTCAAGCCTGATGCTACCTGATCCTGATGAGCCATACATTAAATACATTTTATGAACCCTACATTAATGACATTTAATGAGCCCAAGCCCAAAAAAGGCCAAATGATTGTGCCGTTATCCAATACATACAGTGGGGAGAACAAGTATTTGATACACTGCCGATTTTGCAGGTTTTCCTACTTACAAAGCATGTAGAGGTCTGTAATTTTTATCATAGGTACACTTCAATTGTGAGAGACGGAATCTAAAACAAAAATCCAGAAAATCACATTGTATGGTTTTTAAGTAATTAATTTGCATTTTATTGCATGACATAAGTATTTGATCACCTACCAACCAGTAAGAATTCCAGCTCTCACAGACCTGTTAGTTTTTCTTTAAGAAGCCCTCCTGTTCTCCACTCATTACCTGTATTAACTGCACCTGTTTGAACTCGTTACCTGTATAAAAGACACCTGTCCACACACTCAATCAAACAGACTCCAACCTCTCCACAATGGCCAAGACCAGAGAGCTGTGTAAGGACATCAGGGATAAAATTGTAGACCTGCACAAGGCTGGGATGGGCTACAGGACAATAGGCAAGCAGCTTGGTGAGAAGGCAACAACTGTTGGCGCAATGATTAGAAAATGGAAGAAGTTCAAGATGACGGTCAATCACCCTCGGTCTGGGGCTCCATGCAAGATCTCACCTCGTGGGGCATCAATGATCATGAGGAAGGTGAGGGATCAGCCCAGAACTACACGGCAGGACCTGGTCAATGACCTGAAGAGCGCTGGGACCACAGTCTCAAAGAAAACCATTTGTAACACACTACGCCGTCATGGATTAAAATCCTGCAGCTCACGCAAGGTCCCCCTGCTCAAGCCAGCGCATGTCCAGACCCGTCTGAAGTTTGCCAATGACCATCTGGATGATCCAGAGGAGGAATGGGAGAAGGTCATGTGGTCTGATGAGACAAAAATATAGCTTTTTGGTCTAAACTCCACTCACCGTGTTTGGAGGAAGAAGAAGGATGAGTACAACCCCAAGAACACCATCCCAACTGTTACGGATACAGGTATCCTGTGTCTTTTTGTGTTTTTCCTCTCCTTCTGCCCTATTCACAGGTGTCCTGTATGTTCCTGATTGGTGGTCGTTGGGGTGTCTGCTGATTGCTGAGGTGGACCAATCAGTGGACATTCCTCTGCATTGCACCACCTGTTTCTGGTTTTTCAATCACACATCCCATTGTTTAAAAGCCGGTCAGTTGTGTTTGTTGTTAGAGACTATTTCCGTATGTGAGTATGGATACTGTGGTGTCCTGTGTTTTGTGTACTCACTCATTTGCTGGTTACTCTGTTTGGGAACTTTGTTGTGTGTTTCTGGGAAAAGGGGAATTTAAGCAAGTTGCCCTTGGGCATACATTACCCGTAGGAAGAAAACTGTCTAAAAACACTAGTTAGACCTGAGCGGACCACCCACTGTATTTTTGTATGATTAGCAGTAGCTTAGTGGTTGTTGAGGCAGGCAAGATCAGTTTAGGTTTTTTTTACACTACGGTTTCATTTATTGGGTCCTGCTCAGCCCTTTTTCCCAAACCTTTACCGTGTGTTCAAAAATATAAAAATGTTCTCACTGTTTCATGTCACGATTCTAATTTGCATGAATTATGTTACGGGTCTCTTGTCCATCCACCCTAGACATTTAAAGCCATGGGGTTCGTAACACCAACCGTTAAGCATGGAGGTGGAAACATCATTCTTTGGGGATGCTTTTGTGCAAAGGGGACAGGACGACTGCACCGTATTGAGGGGAGGATGGATGGGGCCATGTATTGCGAGATCTTGGCCAACAACCCCCTTCCCTCAGTAAGAGCATTGAAGATGGGTCGTGGCTGGGTCTTCCAGCATGACAACGACCCGAAACACACAGCCGGGGCAACTAAGGAGTGGCTCCGTAAGAAGCATCTCAAGGTCCTGGAGTGGCCTAGCCAGTCTCCAGACCGGAACCAAATAGAAAATCATTGGAGGGAGCTGAAAGTCCGTATTGCCCAGCGACAGCCGCGAAACCTGAAGGATCTGGAGAAGGTCTGTATGGAGGAGTGGGCCAAAATCCCTGCTGCAGTGTGTGCAAACCTGGTCAAGATCTACAGGAAACGTATGATCTCTGTAATTGCAAACAAAGGTTTCTGTACCAAATACTAAATTCTGCTTTTCTGATGTATCAAATACTTATGTCATGCAATAAAATGCAAATTAATTACTTAAAAATCATACAATGTGATTTTCTGGATTTTTGTTTTAGATTCCGTCTCTCACAGTTGAAGTGTACCTATGATACAGACCTCTACATGCTTTGTAAGTAGGAAAACCTGCAAAATCGGCAGTGTATCAAATACTTGTTCTCCCCACTGTATATGATGTAGGCTACTGCACATTACGCACAACATAAAAGCCCATAGATGTAGCTAGCTATATGCTCTCTTGGATAAATAAATGAAACTAGCTCCAGTAGGCTCATCTTTTTGAGTGTGAACTGTATTACTGGACTGTAATTACGCACATCGTTCAAACCATAATAAAGTAGGGAGAGAACATGCAATTCTGGTGCAGCACATGCGGCCTACAAAGTTACAAGTATATGCTAGCAAATTAGATTTTCATTTTGAAATATAATAGGGCCTATTGGTACAATTCGTAAGTAGGCTGACGCATGTATACCTTTTACAATATTTCCCCTAATGTTATTAACCTCCTTCCTATTTCTCTCTGTGTTGTTGCTTCATTCCTTCCTCTCTTTCAACAGTTAAATTAAATACGTTCAGTTTCCTTTATCCTCATCATTCTAATGACATTCTTGAATAATATAGGACTAGAATTAAATGCAGAAGACTTTCACTTCTCTTCAGGAAGATTGAATGGTTATTGGTCTGAATAAATAACTGCCATAGCCTACCGCCATCGCGCGTTCGCTCTTCTTTCAAACTACCCGTTCTATTGGCTGCAGTATTTAACATTCAGCAAACAAGAGCTTGCGTCCCTTTTTGAAGTCTATTGGTATAAGAAATGCTAAAAAAAGTATGTCCAGCAAGCTATTCTAGTCTAGTTTTTCCTGCATGAGACTCCAAGAGCTAAGGAGCGTTTTTTTTTTAGAAGGAGAGGGAGCACAGGTGCGTGCGTATTGCGCAAGAGACCGAGGCTATAAATAAGAAGCTTATTATGCATAACCCATCATTAATTAGCTAAATATAAGGCTAATACTGCATTGAATTGATTACCTGAGGTAGGCTAGGACATCTATATATAGGGCTTTTATCGATGTAGAACTGGATTATCTATTTTGGATGCAATTTGAATGGAGTTGATGGAGAGAGAGAAAGACTGTGAGAGAGTGCTTGCGCGTGCACTGATTTAAAGCAATGATATTCTAGTAATAGGCTGTTTTAAAACTCTGCAGCTGCAATAAATAAATACAAATCTTTACAATAAAAAAATAAGGTGACCCCCAAAAGCCAGATGGAGATGTGTAAATTAGACTCGCATTCAGTCTTCATATTACTGTAGCATAGACTATGCTGCAGCAAATGCAGGCCTACCTGTCACAAGAAAAAAAGTTACCATGATGAGATGATAGGTCTACATGCATTGTGAACTGCGTACCATACTGAGATAGGCTGTCTGTCCCCACCCTGAGCGTTGATGATTCATCATGAACAGGCCTGTAGAGAAGCCAGATTTAGACATCACATATAATTTAACAGTTCCATTTCACAACATGCTGTTATAATTTACCGGTTTCTTACAGTCATTTATCCCGGGAAAAGGGAGTGGTTTTGGGCGGTAAATCCTGGTAACCGGGCCATTCAACCCTAGACCTGACTGATGGCATGTGTCAGCGGGGAGGACAGGAGAGTTGTGTCAATGCCATCACACTGACCTACACAGGGTCATCACAGGATCGATTATATGCCAGAGCTGTGGAGGCCTGCTGCTGGTGACGGACTGAGAGCGAGGGGTGTTTGTGTACTGTGTGTATGTGTGTGTGTGTTGGTACTGTGTGTGACTGTGTGTTTGTGTGCTTGTATTGTGTGTGTGTGTGCTTGTACTGTGTGTGACTGTGTGTTTGTGTGTGTGTGTTTGTACTCTGGCTCAGTTTGTAGAACATGGCACTTGCAACGCCAGGATTGTGGGTTAGATTCCCGAGGCCACCCATACGTAAAATGTATGCACGCATGACTGTAAGTCGCTTTGGATAAAAGTGTCTGCTAAATGTCATATGTTATATTATTATTATATTTACTTTGTGTGTGTGTGTGAGACTGTGTGTGTGACTGTGTGTGTGTGTGGTGGGGGGCTGAGCTGAAGGGCCAATTACTTACTTCCCAGGCAAGAACCAGATTTAGACCACCTGTCTAAGGTCTCTCCACTGTCAGTCTACAAACAGACTCTCTGAGTAACGTCGATAACTCTGCACTCTGCGCTTTTTAATCCTCACCATACTAACTACTCTCTCGATTCAAATCTACTGTAAAACAGTGTAATTGTTTCAACTTGAAAAATATAAGTTACCCCGTTTCCTAACAAATGTAATTACAACAACTAATTTGTTGAGTTGACTAACTGTATTCACTCTTCATCTTCTCTCTCACCACTGAGCAAGAAAGGACAGCACAACTCCATAGACTCAAACTGTATGGGGGGATGTCGGTTCAAGAGTATTCACTTGTACAGACACACAAAGACACTCGTGCAGATCAGTGGCGGTCGGTGCCGTTTAAGATGAGGGAGGACCTTTTTTTTTTTAATGTGCATGGCCTAATTTCTATTACAGCATTTTGGATGACTGTCATTCATATTCCATTCACCCAGCTCAATGTAACATCGATAGGTTTAGGCTACTACATGATACTAACATTTTCCCTATAATCATCAAGAGGTTGCTACCTAGCCTATGAATGAAAGTCTAGAACGTAGGTGCACACAGGTCCAGAGAAAGATTTGAGGTGACAGACTAACACATGGACAGACAATGACACATTCAATACCACCTTGCACACTCTTGCCTGCATCTAGCTGATCTAGGGTGTAATCATTAGTCCAACAGTTGAAAACAATAGTTTTTATTGGACAAATTCAGGTATGTTTATCCCCGTTTCGTTCTGTTTGCTTACATTTAAGAAACGTTTTTCAACAGAATTGGCGGAATGAATGAATACACCCTTGATCACATGCAAACAGTTCACTTTCATACAATATACAAACAGCTCGTTGTATTCCTTTTCGCATCTACGCGTGACATTTTGAATATATTTTGTATAGTTTTATCTAAAAAGGATAACTTTTTAAAAATATTTCACTTTTTTTTTTTAATGAGTTCACTGAGGAGGATGGTCCTCCCCTTCCTCTTCTGAGGAGCCTCCACTGGTGCAGATACACACACACACACACACACACACACACACACACACACACACACAAATTCTACGTGACCGTTGAGTCATGGTAATCTACTTTTATGCACTTTGGACTAGTAGTACCCAACTCACTAAGGATCACCAAGGATCACCCCGCTCCTCCACACACTCCACTGGCTTCCAGTTGAAGGCTGCATCTGCTACAAGACCATGGTGCTTGCCTACGGAGCTGTGAGGGGAACGGCACCTCCGTACCTTCAGGCTCTGATCAGTCCCTACACCCAAACGAGGGCATTGCGTTCATCCATCTCTGGCCTACTGGCCCCCCTACCTCTGCGGAAGCACAGTTCCCGCTCAGTCCAGTCAAAACTGTTCGCTGCTCTGGCACCCCAATGGTGGAACAAGCTCCCTCACGACGCCAGGACAGCGGAGTCACTCACCACCTTCCGGAGACACTTGAAACCCCACCTCTTTAAGGAATACCTGGGATAGGATAAAAGTAATCCTTCTACCCCCCCCCCCCCCCCCCCAAAAAAAAGAAGAAAATTGATATATTGTAAAGTGGTTGTCCCACTGGCTATCATAAGGTGAATGCATCAATTTGTAAATCGCTCTGGATTAGAGCATCTGCTAAATGACGAAAATGTAAACATTTAAATGTCTCTAATAACCTGGTACTCAGGTACATGGTACACTCTGACAACAATGCAAATGCAATGGAAAAATCACATCAAACACTTATCATCAAAACAAATCAAATCAAATGTTATTTGTCACATACACGTGTTTAGCAGATGTTATTGCGGGTGTAGTGAAATGCTTGTGCTTCTACAGTGCAGTAATATCTAACAAGTAATATCTAAGAATTCACAACATATATTATAGAATAGAATACAGTATATACATATGAGATGAGTGGTGCAAGACATGTAAACATTATTAAAGTGACTAGTGTTCCATTTCTTAAAGTGGACAGTGATTTCAATAGGCAGCAGCAGCCTCTAATGTGCTAGTGATTGCTATTTAACAGTCTGATGGCCTTGAGATAGAAGCTGTTTTTCATTCTCTCGGTCCCAGCTTTGATGCACCTGTGCTGACCACGCCTTCTGGATGATAGCGGGGTGAACAAGCAGTGGCTCGGGTGGTTGATGTTCTTGATGATCTTTTTGGCCTTCCTGTGACATCGGATGCTGTAGGTGTCTTGGAGGGTGGGTAGTTTGGCCCCGGTAATGCGTTCGGCAGACAGCACCACCCTCTGGAGAGCCCTGCGGTTGCGGGCGGTGCAGTTGCCGTACCAGGCGGTGATAAAGCCCGACAGGATGCTCTCAATTGTGCATCTGTAAATGTTTGTGAGGGTTTTAGGTGCCAAGCCAAATATCTTCAGCCTCCTTAGGTTGAAGAGGCTCTGTTGCGCCTTCTTCACCACACTGTCTGCGTGGGTGGACCATTTCAGTTTGTCAGTGATGTGTACGCCAAGGAATTTGAAGCTTTCCACCTTCTCCACTGCGGTCCTGTCGATGTGGATAGGGGGGTGCACCCTCTGCTGTTTCCTGAAGTCCACAATCATTTCCTTTGTTTTGTTGACGTTGAGTGAGAGGTTATTTTCCTGGCACCACACTCCCAGAGCTCTCACCTCCTCCCTGTAGGCGGTCTCGTCATTGTTGGTAATCAAGCCTACTACCGTTGTGTCGTCTGCAAACTTGATGATTGAGTTGGAGGCGTGCTTGGCCAAGCAGTCATGAGTGAACAGGGAGTACAGGAGGGGGCTGAGCATGCACCCTTGTGGGGCCCCAGTGTTGAGGATCAGCGAAGTGGAGATGTTGTTTCCTACCTTCACCACCTGGGGGCGGCCCGTCAGGAAGTCCAGGACCCAGTTGCACAGGGCGGGGTTCAGACCCAGGGCCTCGAGCTTAATGATGAGCTTGGAGGGTACTATGGTGTTGAATGCAGAGCTATAGTCAATGAACAGCATTCTTACATAGGTATTCCTCTTGTCCAGATGGGATAGGGCAGTGTGCAGTGTGATGGCAATTGCATCGTCTGTGGATCTATTGTGGCGGTAAGCAAATTGAAGTGGGTCTAGGGTGACAGGTAAGGTAGAGGTGATATGATCATTGACTAGTCTCTCAAAGCACTTAATGATGACAGAGGTGAGTGCTACGGGGCGATAGTCATTTAGTTCAGTTACCTTTGCTTTCTTGGGTACAGGAACAATGGTGGCCATCTTGAAGCATGTGGGAACAGAAGACTGGGAAAGGGAGAGATTGAATATGTCCGTAAACACACCAGCCAGCTGGTCTGCGCATGCTCTGAGGACACGGCTAGGGATGCCGTCTGGGCCGGCAGCCTTCCGGGGGTTAACATGCTTAAATGTCTTACTCACGTCGGCCACGGAGAAGGAGAGGCCACAGTCCTTGGTAGTGGGCGTCGTCTGTGACACTGTGTTATCCTCAATGTGGGCGAAGAAGGTGTTTAGCTTGTCTGGAAGCAAGACGTTGGTGTCGGCGACGTGGCTGGTATTCCTTTTGTAGTCCGTGATTGTCGATAGACCCTGCCTCATATGTCTCGTGTCTGAGCCGTTGCATTGTGACTCCACTTTGTCTCTATACTGATGTTTTGCCAGTTTAATTGCCTTGCTGAGTGAGTAGCTACACTGTTTGTATTCTGCCATATTCCGTCACCTTGCCATGGTTAAATGCGGTGGTTCGCGCTTTCAGTTTTGCGCGAATGCTGCCATCTATCCACGGTTTCTGGTTAGGGTAGGTTTTAATAGTCACAGTGGGCACAACATCACCTATACACTTCCTGATAAACTCAGTCACCATTTCAGTGTATTCGTCAAAATTATTTTTTCAAGCTACCCGGAACATATCCCAGTCCGCGTGATCAAAACAATCTTGAAGCGTGGATTCCGATTGGTCAGACCAGCGTTGAATAGTCCTTAGCACGGGTACTTCCTGTTTGAGTTTCTGCCTATAGGAAGGGAGGAGCAAAATGGGGTTGTGGTCAGATTTGCCGAAAGGAGGGCGGGGGAGGGCCTTATAACCATCCCAGAAGTTCGAATAGCAATGGTCGAGGATTTTAGCAGCTCGAGTACAACAGTCGATATGTTGATAGAACTTCGGCAGCCTAGTCCTCAAATTTACTTTGTTAAAATCCCCGGATACAATAAATGCAGCCTCAGGATATGTGGTTTCCAGTTTGCATAAAGTCCAGTGAAATTATTTGAGGGCCGTCGTGGTATCGGCTTGAGGGGGGATATACACGGCCGTGACTATAACCGAAGAAAATTATCTTCGGAGATAATACGGTCGGCATGTGCTTTTAAAACAGTATGTGCTTTTAAAACCCATCTCACTGTGATTGATCAATTTGAAGAAAGTAGTTAAACAATAGGTTGAAACTGAGTGGAAAACATGGTCATTGTGGATGTTGTTTCAAAGCCTAACACAACGAAATGGACAGCACTTTATAAGGTGATGTTTAATTCAAAACACTCATATGCATATTAGAGCTTATACATAAGAATAAGCCTAAATATGAGCCCAAGCCCGAAAACCCCCCTGAATTAAAATTATGATTGTGCCATTATACAATAAATAGCCTACCACATATTACTACACATGGCAGAAAAACATTTAAAAAATGACTGATTTAAGATATCTTTGGTGCATAATTGGTCTAGCCTAAATTAAACAAATTCAGATTTAGCCTACAATTATATTGAATTTATTTTTTATTTTGAATAGCCTAGTAATAGCTCATTTTTAACATTTTCATAATTAATAGACTGACACATTACCTTTAGCCACAGAATATCTCACCACTGTGAGTTTCCATCTCCTCCCCTCTCTCGTTCATTCTTTTCTCCAGCGCGCAGAGAGAGGAGCTGTCAACAGTTTTTTGAAATATGTTTCGTTGTGAAAACATGTTACCATTGATGTTACCGATTTCACTTGTTTTCCAAAATTAAGCACTGGGTAGCTACAGGAACAAGGATGGAGAGCCAGTGGCATACTGAGTTCGGGCGGAATATCACCTGTGGCGCAGGGAAATTACCGGAGTAGCCTACCCAACATGAGTGAAAAACGTTCCGGCGGGAAAATGGCCTCCATTCTCTATTCCAGTGCATACGGATGACATGTATTATTTGTCTTGCCCCTGTTCTTGCCCATTTGATAATGGGCCATTCTAAATCGAAAAGAATTGTACATATTAGTAAAAACAAGATTAAACTGAGAATAGTCTGATGAGTGAAAATATGATCACTTGATGAGAGAACAGCGTGTGCAGCCTGAGGTAAGAAACAGAGCGCAAGCTTTTTTTTGTGACTTTTCAAAACATCAATAGCCAATAGTCACATCATGCAGCCCATATATCTTTTGATTTCTAAGCCATTCTAAGGTTTGTATCATTTACAACTAAAGTTGCCAAATACCTATAAATCTAGCGTAACTGTTTCAAAATGTAGATGTTCCTTGTTGCGGCTTATATGTGTGGAGCCTGGAGATGCTAATGGTGTTTATGTTAATTAACGGTCAATTACTGTGAGATTGGCAGTTTTTTGCTTGACAATAACCGGCTGACAAAATGTCATGACTGCCACAGCCCTATGTATGACTCATAGATGCACAGACAAAAGCTCTATAGACAAAAGGAAAGCCAACAAAACATAAAAAGATGACAAAGCACAGAGACAGATACAGAGATTTTCATCTCTATGTGACAAAGCAAACAAACACATTGCTGTACGAAATATGCATTTGGTGGATATTGTTTATTGTGCGAAGGATATATATAGCTACTTTCTGCATGAAAGCATGGCGTAATCAAAGAGAATCAACAATATATTAATGCATAATGCATTCATCAGTTAAGAGAACAATGTATGAACAAGGAAACTGGAAAATGTAGGCTACTATATGCTATGGCTGGTTTCTTGCTAGTGTGACAGTGTTACCTTTTTTCCTCTACAATGGCAAAACACTTGACAATGTGTATGTATGCATACTGTATCTACTGCATGCATAATGTATGTCAATATGTGAAATTGTGTTTTGGATAAAAGTAGAGACTCAGAGCTAGAAAATTGAATATCATACACTACAGTTGAGGAACGATGGGAAAGTAATTCTGCTTTGAAAGTTGATAAACTTGTAACCTCACTTTTGAGGCTATGTACTAAACAACCTAAAGGCAGGTTTATACTACGGGTGTGTTCGTAAATTAGATCTGGAGTGCCAGAGTGTGCTCTGGCCGTTCGTAAATTCAGAGCGTTTCGCTCTCTGAGCGCACACTGGACGCTCTGGCCGAAAAGTAGATCCGAGAGTTCTGACCTAACAACAGCAGTCAAGCACCCAAGGTAACTGGCTAACGTTGGCTAGATTGCTAGCTACTTCCAGACACAAATGAGAGAACAGCTCACTCTGATACGCGCCCTAGCAGAGCTGGTTAGGCTGTGTTTATGTTATCCAGAGCGTTGGTGACTGCAACTGCTGGCAACAATTTAATTACGTTTTTTTTGCCAACGTTTACTGACACCGGCCATATTCAACGGGTGTTGAGCGTTCGTAAATTTGTCAGTTATTCTGCGCATTGGCACACTGACGAGAGTGCTCTGAAATCGGAGTAGATAGCCAGAGCGAATTTACCAGCTACGTCTATCGACAGTTGTCGCAGTGACATTAGAAACATTCTATTGAAATAGTTACTTGCATAGTGGAGTCTTTAGTTTAGACATGTAGCTAGCTAGCTAAACAATGAACGATAATCCCAACTAATAACATTACTACCCTGCATGAATCTGCAGGTAGCTAACCAACCAGGTTCAATGTTATTTAAAAAAAAAAAAAAAAGGGTAGATCAGCTTAATATTGCAGATAGATTGTAACTTCTATCAATTGTCTGCATCACTTCCAATCCCCCATGTATTTTTAGATATATACTCCCCTTTATTACTTTTCAACCTGCCATCCTTTCCCTACTTGGGGTAAATTAGTGAACAACAATGCCCAGGCCTCTACTTCCAGCCTATACTTACTATCTACACCTTATGGACACAGTCAATTTAACAAGAATTCTATTTTATTTGTTTTTTTTGTTTTTGCTCCTGAATTTCTTCTACTCTCAACCTCTCCGATCATTTTCATGATGTCCATCCGGTTTGCTTCTATATGCCATATCATTCTAACTGTGCTCTTTACCAAAAGCTCCCAACATACAACCTTATTATATTTTTATTTATTTATTTTTTAGTCATTTAGCAGACACTCTTATCCAGAGCGACTTACAGTTAGTGAGTGCATATATTATTAATTTTTTCATACTGGCCCCACAACCCTGGCGTTGCAAACGCCATGCTCTACATCCCTGCCGGCCATTCCCTCCCCTACCCTGGACGGCGCTGGGCTAATTGTGCGCCGCCCCATGGGTCTCCCGGCAGAGTCTGGATTCGAACCAGGATCTCTAGTGGCACAGCTAGCACTGTGATGCAGTCACTCGGGAGACTGCGCCATTATAGAAACAGTATGCTTACATTATTAGTTATCTTGTTATTATTTGTTGTTATTTGTTATTAGTCCCATCCTTCAACTCCATTCAATACCTCCCATCTATCTCTTAACACCATCCATATAGGATTTCTATTTGCCATATATATTTCAACCGTACTGTGATGTTTTACAAAAGTTCTGAACCTTTCTATTCTCATTGCTTCTACAGATTGTGAATTAAAAATAAAGATTTTTGCTAAAAGTATTATTATATTATTGATCGATTGACTATTACTTTTCAGATCACCCAGTAATGCTATCTGCAAGGTTAGCTCCAGGTAAATATTGCAATCCTTTAGCCATTCCTGGACCTGTGTCCAAAAACAAGCTACAAATGGACAGAACCAAAACAAATGATCTAATGATTCTGTCTCTTCACAGCAAAATCTGCAGAGCTGGGAAGATTGTATCCCCCATATAAATAACATTCTATTGGTAGCAAGAATTTTATATAATAATTTAAATTGAAAGATTCTAATTTTTGAATCCGGTGTCGTTTTGCGTGTCAGTTCATAAACACTATGCCATGGGATCGTAACGTCAAAAATCTCTTCCCAACTATTTTGCAATCTATATGGGATGGCTGTCAATCCTTTGGTCCTTAAGTGAAACTGATATACTTTTTTATTTATCACAGTTTTCCTTAACCAATTATGTTCTTTAATGCAAGGCCGACAGACAAGTTCCTTACTTTCTCCCCCTTCCACTTTCCTCTTCCACTTTTGCGGTAAGGCTGCAATTATTTGGTTGTAATTTTGGGTAGAGCAGACATTTCCATATGTTTTTGTTAGCTGCATGTGCGACATAACTCCACCAGTCCTACCGATGATATAATTTACGAAGATTATACCTTTTTTAAACATTCTGTCAAAAAATTAAGTTTTTTTGTCAATTAGTATATTTGAATTTAACCACAATATTTGTTGCATTATTTGTTCTGTCGTTTCTGGAGAATTAAATTGAAATTGCAACCAACTTTCTATGGCTTGTTTTAGAAATAGTGATATTTGGGAGATTATTTCCTTTTCAAATAACTGAAAATGAGTTGTTGTAATCTGAATAAAGGGAAGAAGGCCTTTCTTGAACATTGGGTGAGACAATCTTACTAATTTGCTTGAGAACCAGTTCGGATTTAAGTATAACTTGTGTATGACTGAAGCTTTTAGTGATAGGTCTAATGCTTTAATATTAAATAATTTCTGTCCTCCGAATTCATATTCATTATATAAATAGTCCCTTTTAATTTTGTCTGACTTGCCGTTCCAAATAAAATTGAATATTTTTTCTCATATAATTTCAAAAACTGTTCGCTAGGCGTAGGCAAGACCATAAGCAAATAGGTAAACTGGGATAATACTAAAGAGTTAATCAGGGTGATTTTTCCACAAATTTACAGGTATTTTCCTTTCCACGGTAGTAGGATCTTATCTATTTTTGCTAACCTTCTATTAAAATTTATTGAAGTGAGATCATTTATTTCCTTTGGGATATGTATTCCGAGTATATCCACATCACCATCAGACCATTTTATTGGTAAACTACATGGTAATGTAAAAATGGTATTACTGACAGTGATCCAATTGTATTACTGACAGTGATCCAATACGTAATATAGTACATTTGTCATAATTTGGTTGTAATCCAGAGAGGTTAGAAAATTTATCTAGATCCTCTATGAGGCTGTGGAGGGATTCTAGTTGTGGATTTAAAAGAAAACATGAATCATCAGCGTACAATGACACCTTTGTTTTTAAGCCCTGGATTTCTAATCCTCTGATATTATTATTGGATCTGATTTTAATAGCTAACATCTCGATGGCCACAATAAATAGATATGCCGATAGTGGACAACCTTGTTTCACTCCTCTTGACAGTTTAAAACTTTCTGAGAAATAGCCATTATTTACTATTTTACACCTAGGGTTACTATACATGATTTTGACCCATTTTATAAGAGATTCTCCAAAATTGAAATGGTCCAGGCATTTATATATAAACCCCAGTCGTACTTTATCAAATGCCTTTTCGAAGTCTGCTATGAATAGCAGGCCTGGTTTCCCATATTTTCCATAGTGTTCCATATTGAACTAGGTTAAATGTTAGCTAGCTAACATTAGGCTATAACTAGCAATGCAAATGGCTCTGAGATACGAATAATATTACTACACAGATCATACACGTAATGTTAGCTAGCTAGCCAGCCAGCACACTTTAACTTGAAATGAAAACGAATTTCTGACTAAATTAGAAACGTGTAATATCTGAAAATGTAGCTAGCTAGACTCTCTTACCCGTATACATGGATGGAGGCTTCTCCCTCTCTGCCACGGTTGCCCTTAGTTTGAAGATGTAATCCGGAGCCTTCTGTGTTCTCTTTTCGACTTTGTCTGCATATTTGCAATCAAACACCAGAATTTTCTCCATCTCCTTAGCTATCATACTCTAATTCCACTGATTTCAAAACAGTCCTCCAGAAAGTGGAGAGCAACACTTATGCAGTTCTCCTATGTGATATCTTTCAAAATACTGACACATACTGACCAGCTCATATTACAGACAGAAGCATGCTACATGGCAGACCAATCTGAACTCATCTCTCGGCATGTCCAGCCCAATCAATATCTCAGCCAATCATGGCTAGCGGAAAGGTTGCTGTCTTTTTCCATGACTAAACCAACTAGGCTTGTAATTTAACAATTGTATTCGTATTTACAGATGGCATACAAGTTTGTTATTAAGGCACATGAAAGTTCACATGTTCCAGAAGGCATTTCTTCCAAAAAACGCATTTGAATAAAAAAAAATTAGTTTACATTCAAATGGACCTCCTGTGAAGTAGTGACGCACGACATACGCATAGTTTCCTGAAACGAGTCACATATGTTTAAGTGCACTTACGAGATGAAACCATTTCCATAGAGGTTTCAATATTCTACCCAGCCATGTCAGGAAGATATTCTGATCTTCCAAAGCAAAGTGTCCTGTGTCACAGAGTAAAGCATGTTAACTTATGGTAACACATCAATGTCAAATTACTTGGAATGCCTTGCAGAGCTGCTTACTCTAATTTCACAGGGATTTATTTACCTGACTCGCTAACAATTTAAACTAAGATCTGTAATGTTCCCAGTATTAATCCCACCAAACATACATTTTGTACATGCTTGCCAGATCTTTTTAAGATATGAGTTCTCCCTGTCTCCATTAGACACTATTACCCTTGCTAAGAAGAATTGAGACTGAAATCTACACCAACAAACATTTACTCACTTTTTAATGTGCTCAACTTTGGTCCATTGGGTGCAATTCTGCTGAAGTAGGCCTTATTGCTCCGATGCCTTTGCATCAACAACAACAGATAGTAAAGAAAACCTCAGGGCATGAGTTTGTGTTTTATTCAGATTTCTCACACAGCACTGCTTGTATTACAGTATCTTCTGACCAGTGGAGGCTCCTCAGAGGAGGAAGGGGAGGACCATCCTCCTCAGTGAATTTCATAAAAATTAAGATTGTAAAACATTAAAAAAGTTATCCTTTTTAGATAAAACTATACTAAATATGGGCCTCCTGAGTGGCGCAGCAGTCTAAGGCACTGCATCGCAGTGATTGAAGCGTCACTACAGACCCGGGTTCGATCCCGGGCTGTGTCACAACCGACCGGGAGTCCCATAGGGCGGCACACAATTGGCCCAGCGTCGTCCGGGTCAGGGGAGGGTTTGGCCAGGGGGGCTTTACTTGGCTCATTGCGCTCTAGTGACTCCTTGTGGCAGGCCGGGCGCCTGCAGGCTGACTTCGGTCGTCAGTTGAGCTGTGTTTCCTCCGACACATTGGTGCAGCTGGCTTCCGGGTTAAGTGGGCGGGTGTTAAGAGGCGCGGTTTGGCGGGTCATTTTTCGGAGGACGCATGACTCGAACATTTGCCTCTCCCGAGCCCGTTGGGGAGTTGCAGCGATGAAACAAGATCGCAATTGGATATCACGAAAAAGGGGGTAAAAAATATATAAAATACAACTATACTAAATATAATCACGTCACCAAATAACTGATTAAAACACACTATTTTGCCAAGAAAGTCTACAGTAGCCTCAACAGCACTCTGTAGGGTAGCACCATGGTGTAGCCGGAGGACAGCTAGCTTCCATCCTCCTCTGGGTACATTGACTTCAATACAAAACCTAGGAGGCTCATGGTTCTCACCCCCTTCTATAGACTTACACAGTAATTATGACAACTTCCGGAGGACATCCTCCAGCCTAACAGAGCTCTTGCAGCATAAGATGACATGTTGTCCACCCAATCAAAGGATCAGAAAATTAATCTAGTACTGAAAGCATAAGCTACTGCTAGCTAGCACTGCAGTGTATTAAATGTGGCGAGTAGTTGACTCAAAGAGAGAGAAAGACAATAGTTGAACCCTTTTGAACAATTTCATTTCTTCCAAAATGAAGGACAAGCAAGAGAGAAATAGAGAGAGAGAGAGATTGTCATTTTTTTCTCACTTTCTGTTTCACTTACTTAGTTAGCATATGCAGCTAGCTAGTTTAGCCTACTGAAACACCCTGCTAAAACAGAGGGATGCTATGTTAGCTAGCTGGCTATGACATTCCAACATGAAACTGGATCTCTTCCAAGTCAAGGTAAGCTTTTGTTATTACAAATGTATTGCCACCAGGTCCCGCCGGTGTAACTGCTTACAGACTGTACACTAACGTTACTGCATGATTGTAGTGGGTTTACTAACGCGTTAGTTATATATTAGCTATGCTGACTGTGACGTTACTTTAGCTAATATGGTGACAACGATTACATTTTACATTTTAGTCATTTAGCAGACGCTCTTATCCAGAGCGACTTACAGTTAGTGAGTGCATACATTTTTCATACTGGATGTAGGCTGTGTGCAGCGGTTTGGCTTCGAAAGGTTTTTCCGCCTGGTCACATACAGCTGATGTGTTGTGCATTGAAGTCCACAAGTGAAGGGAAGAGGTGAGAGGAGGAGAGCGCATAGATGCGAGAAGGAATACAACGTAGCTGCTATGAAAGTGAACTGTGTTTATGCATGATCAGGGGTGTACTCATTCTGCCGATTCTGTTGATTTCTTAAACGGAAGCAAACGGAACAAAACGGGGATAAACATACCTGTCTGTCCATGTGTCACTGTCTGTCACCTCAAATATGTCTCTCGACCTGTGTGCACCTACGATGTAAACTAGGTTGTAGGCTAGGTTGTAGCAACGTCATGATGGGTATAGGGACAATTAGAGTATCATCTAGTAACCTAAACCTATCGCTGTTACATTGAATATGTTGTAATAGAAATAAGGCTATGCTCATTAAAAAAAACGTCCTCCCTCATCTTAAATGGCACTGACCGCCACTGCTTCTGACATCATATTGTATACCCCACCAACTAATGTATGAGTGATTATCTATGTATGAGAGTACCTGCGCTATGTATACACTTGGTTTCTGTCCCTAACAGTGCACATGCCCATATGACTTGTCAGAACCCGCTATCCTCTGTCTGTTGACATTGAAGCTTCCATAGAATTCTAGTAATTCTACTTTATGAAAGCGCCTCAGGTCCTCTATTCCAACTCAGTGCCTCGACTCATTACCGCTGTACTGAGCAGCAGATATTGTGACAGGGATGGCTCTTTCAACAAACAGCACACAGTGCTGTGGTCCGGAAGCCTTTCAAGTCACGCTGAAACGGACTCAAATATTTATAACCTTTCCATCAATAAAAGATACCCCTTCAGTGAGGTGAGAGAGAGAGGGCGAGAGAGAGAGAGAGAGAGAGAGAGAGAGAGAGAGAGAGAGAGAGAGAGAGAGAGAGAGAGAGAGAGAGAGAGAGAGAGAGAGAGGAGAGAGAGAGAGAGAGAGAGAGAGAGAGAGAGAGAGAGAGAGAGAGAGGGAGAGAGAGGGAGAGAGAGAAGTGGTGAAACCATTGGATGGCTGTGAGCAACATGGCAATAGCTCCTGTGTTGGCCTGGGTTAGTTACCTAAGACAGCTCAGTTATAGATAGTTAGTAAGTTATAGTATTAGTTAGTTATACAAGCAGTCTTGTTCTAGGTTAGTCAGTTACAGAGGCAGTTCTGTCTTTTATTATTTCTGGTTACCCTAACCCGTCCTTGTTGGTTCTTCTAGACTGTCCTTGTAGTCCTGTTGGGGTTGTATACTCAACAAAAATATGAACGCAACATGCAACAATTTCAACGACAACTGCCAAATTCTCTCAAATATGTTGGAGGCGGCTTATGGTAGAGAAATTTACATTAAATTAAAAGCTCTGGTGGACATTCCTGCAGTCAGAATGCCAATTGCACTCTCCCTCAAAATTGAGACATCTGTGGCATTGTGTTGTGTGACAAAAATGCACATTTAAGAGTGGCCTTAAAAACAAAAAACGGAAATATCACATTTACATAAGTATTCAGACCCTTTACTCAGTACTTTGTTGAAGCACCTTTGGCAGCGATTACAACCTTGAGCCTTCTTGGGTATTTTGCTACAAGCTTGGCACACCTGTATTTGGGGAGTTTCTCCCATTCTTCTCTGCAGATCCTCTCAAGCTCTGTCAGGTTGGATGGGGAGCATTGCTGCATAGCTATTTTCAGGTCTCTCCAGAGATGTTTGATTGGGTTCAAGTCCGGGCTCTGGCTGGGCCACTCAAGGACATTCAAGGTTGTATTATTATTATTATTATTATTATTATTATTATTATTATTATTATATTATTCAGAGAATTGTCCTGAAGCCACTCCTGCGTTGTCTTGGCTGTGTGCTTAGCGTCATTGTCCTGTTGGAAGGTGAACCTTCGCCCCAGTCTGAAGTCCTGAGCACTCTGGAGCAGGTTTTCATCAAGGATCTCTCTGTACTTTGCTCCGTTCATCTTTCCCTCAATCCTGACTAGTCTCCCAGTCCCTGCAACTGAAAAACATCCCCAGAGCATGATGCTGCCACCACCATGCTTCACCGTAGGGATGGTGTCAGGTTTACTCCAGACGTGACGCTTGGCAATCAGGCCAAAGAGTTCAATCTTGGTTTCATCAGAATAGATCATCTTGTTTCTCATGGTCTGAGAGTTTTTTAGGTGCCTTTTATCAAACTCCAAGCGGGCTGTCATGTGTCTTTTACTGAGGAGTGGCTTCCGTCTGGCCACTCCACCATAAAGGCCTGACTGGTGGAGTGCTGCATAGATGCTCTAGGAAGAGTCTTGGTGGTTCCAAACTTCTTCCATTTAAGTATGATGGAGGCCACTGTGTTCTTGGGGACTTTCAATGCTGCAGACATTTTTTGGTACCCTTCCCCAGATCTGTGCCTCGACGCAATCCTGTCCCCTGAGCTCTTCGGACAATTCCTTCGACCTCATGGCTTGGTTTTTGCTCTGACATGCACTGTCAACTGTGGAACCTTATAT